GAGCCTGATCAGACCGAAAAATGAAATACTGCTGACATATATGAGCAAGAGGTGCCCAGCTTTCACTTTTCAGTCTTGGGAGCCTTTTGGATAACTAATTATTTTCCACCCTACAACCCCTTTGCCACAGACGAAACGTCACAAGCCTTTCGCTGCCCTATCGCTATTTCCATGGCAAATGTTCAGACGAACTTACATTCCTTAGTTCCATCAGTTCACGGCTAAGATCCACCATGCCATGTACATTGTAGCGAACGACCTTCATTCCCTTCACATTCTATTGGTGAGATATAAGTTCCACTTGAACAGCTTCTTCTCACCAACTGCTGCTTTTTGGAGCCAAATCCCAAGAGGTTGGTTCCTCGATCACTTAATCTGTTCAATTTATAGTCTATCGTTATCTTCACTACAAATCCCCATTTTCAGAACAGTCTTCATGGAAACTATTTTCTTGCTTCATTCGTTTTAGAATTTTATACGACGCTTGAAGAAAGTATATATAGCTGTTATGTAGCCGAAGCCTTTTGTATGTTTAGACAGCATTTGAACTACCTCTTCTCTAAAGTAATTCACAATTTTCGTTTTTCCACTCGAAAAAAAAAAGTTAAATACAACCGCGAAATTTTCAAGCATTTAAGTTTTGTTTTGTTTTTTTCTCTCATTCAAATCGTTTTTCATTTAATATAAAATTAATGCGCTCAACGGCTTGGATAATCTGCAGTAACAGAACGTTAAAATTGTTTAAATTCCAAAAGTTCTGTGGGAGACAATAGATTACAATGTGATTTTTAACAGATTTTTTCAAACTTCCCAAAATTTCTTATGGAAAATTCGAAAATAAACTTAATCTTGACGTACGAAAATTTTGGCATTGAAATACAAAGTCTATACACGACAACACGCAGAATAATAAATAAGTGGGGAACTTCGAGAGTAAATGAATCTGAAGATTAATAGTTTCCTAATTTTTATAACCGCTATTACTTACACACACACACACACACACAAACAATCTATATTTGTGAGTCGAAGCCGCATACGCATTTCGTGAGAATTATCGTTTTCCCATTTCAAAAACGAGGGTTCTTTAAGATTTTATATTTTTCTATAATTCTGACTAATTTCTTATTTTCTGGTAAATATTTTATGAGTATCTTAGGTTGTCATCAGGCATTATCAAAGAGTTTGTGCGTGTTGCCATTTTCAAATAACGCATCATCGCGTCTAAATCCGTATTATCATGAAATATATTAGCATGTCTGTTCCTAAATTAATATTTTATTGATTTTGGGTTGTTTGTAACAATAAACTAAATAAATAACCGAACCTATGTATGTTTTCGATTATCTAAATAGATCAATAATAGTTCATACGTCTACTTCGCTCCTTAACCTACTATAAATCTATCGATGAAAAGCTTGTTTGGCATAATATTAAAATTATTAAATACCTGAATAGACCTTCACATGTAGGAAAATCTAAATCCGTGATTCCTAAAGTGGTCAGTACCCCCACTACCGTGGATTGTGAAAAGATCCATGTGAGGCGGTGAGAATAATGTGGGCAGTCAAAGGGTGGCGGTGTCACATCTGAACCATAAAATACACCACGCCCACATTTTGAACACGAAGTATATCTTGCTTTTCACATGATAGTTCTCATGAGAAATACTAAGATACTCATTTGACATGCAATACTAGCACTAAAAAAATGCGATCAAAAGTTGACTATACATTGGGAGGGGGGCGTTAGGGTTGTTTTGGTACGCGTGGGGGTGACAACCCCAAAAAGGTCTTGAAACTACGATTCAAAATTTATATTTACATTGTTTATTTACTGTGTATTTATACATATGTAGACTTAAAATTATTTAATCGTCGAATTATGAAGCCATCTCTAAATGAAGCAATAATCTTTTGTCGTTCACTTTAGGGAGTTCTGAATTTCGAAATTTCATAATTATGAGAGTATTTCAAATGCACGTATCTTTATCATATATCAACAAACATGATTTCCTTTTATCTTCCAACAGGACACACTCAGTTATTATATTGTTGGCCCCCAAATGTGCAAAGAACATTTTATGGTAAACCCAAATAATGGAGACATTCTTTTAATAAAAAAATTGCCAGCACCTGGAACTGATTACACCGTAAGTAGACTTTATTTACTTAGCCAGGAAGACAAGCTTTACAGTACTTCCTTTTTCTCAGTGGTTACTAATTTATGTAATAAGCATGTTCACTGCTGCTTAACTTCAGTGACCTGGCAGCAGCCGGTGATTTTCAACACTATGTGACTGTAATGTAATATATAGATCGACTAGGTACACTTCAATGTGGAGTATCAATGCTGAATCAATATCCAATGAGAACCAAGCGTGATCAGGTCATGTGAATTTAAGTATACGCATAATTATTTCTGATGAGCGTATATGAAAGAGGTTGTTTCACTTTCGTTTATACGGTTTAAGGGAAATTGAACGAGGGGATTCGGCTTTTGAGCATTCAAGTAGGTTGCCGTTAACACCAGCAGTTCTGTGTAGTGATCAGATGACTTGGCTAAATAAAAAAGCTTAATTGCTCGATTAACATCTCATTCTTTTTCTGAACAAACTTTTAAAACTGAAAACTTAAAAATCAATAACTAACGATGTTTCAGTTGCATTTTAACTGTCTTGTCACAATGGTAACAATCGAGGGCCTTTCACGAAGGAAAGATTTGTATAATCATCAGAGAGACCTCACCCCGTCTTTCATCAATATGGCTGCGGCTAACCTCCGGGAAAGTGATTCGCTGCGCCTTCTCTGGATAACGACCTCGGCTGACATGAAATGAGGAAAACTATATTGAATTCAATGCTAGGTCAGCTGCTAAGAAAGTCGGTTCACTGTACCGTGCGACACAATATTTCTCTCTGGAATCTATCTTACATATCTATATATGTCCATGCTTAGAATATTGCTGCCACATATGGTACCTCTGCTATTTACCTTGAGCTCCTTGATAAGATCCAATGAAGAATCAGCAATATTATCAGTTTTGATCTGTCGGCTTGGCTTCAATGACTTTCCCACCGTCATAAGGTTACCCCTCTGTGTCTTTTCTGTAAATACTTCCATGGTAATCTTTCGGGTGAGCTCTTCGTTATAGTAACTAGACTTTTTTAATTTAAGCGCAGTACTAGACTGGCTTCGAGATCTCATCAATTTATAGTTGAGCTGGCTAGATGTAGCTGTAAATTATATGCTAAGTTTCTTTTCCCGCACTTCTCGCTTGTGGGACTCCTTTCCGGGTCCATGCTTTCCAGTCAACTTTAATCTGCAAAAATCTAAATGCAATGTCAATCGCTATCTACTGTCCCCCGATTACTCTTTTTCTCTTCCTGCTCATCATTAATGTTTCTGATCCTAATTCTTCTACACCCTGTAACCCCTTGTGTCTTAGTGGCTTTACTGCCTTGCATGGGGTGATGTCGATTTAAGAAATAGAAAATAAAATATGTTACATACGTATCCGAATAGGCGATGTTGGAAAAGATATATTTAAAAATATATCAGATAAGTTCCCAGTGTTTTTAATACACTAAATACAAAATAGAGAACTTATTTTTAACTGCAAACCTTTGCTCACTCTTTAATACATTGAAGTTTCGTAAAGTAATCACTTAATTACTATAAACAACTGGAATAGATAACATCAGAGATGTGTGTGTGAGAGAAAGAAAGAAACAAACAAAGAATGAAAAAAGACAAAGAAAAAGAGAAATAAATAAAGTAAAAGAGAGAGAGAAAGAAAGCAAAAGTAAAAGAGAGAAAGAAAGAGAAAGAAAAAAGAAAGAGAAAGAAAGAGTAGAAAAAGAGAGAAAGAAATAGTAAAGAGAAAGAGAGAAAGAAATAGTAAAGAGAAAGAAAGAAAGAAATAGTAAAGAGAAAGAGAGAAAGAAATAGTAAAGAGAAAGAAAGAAAGAAATAGTAAAGAGAAAGAGAGAAAGAAATAGTAAAGAGAAAGAGAGAAAGAAATAGTAAAGAGAAAGAAAGAAAGAAATAGTAAAGAGAAAGAGAGAAAGAAATAAAAAGAGAAAGAAAAAGAAATAAAAAGAGAAAGAAAGAAAGAAATAGTAAAGAGAAAGAAAGAAAGAAATAGTAAAGAGAAAGAGAGAAAGAAATAGTAAAGAGAAAGAAAGAAAGAAATAGTAAAGAGAAAGAAAGAAAGAAATAGTAAAGAGAAAGAGAGAAAGAAATAGTAAAGAGAAAGAAAGAAAGAAATAGTAAAGAGAAAGAAAGAAAAAGAAAATAAAAAATTAGTTAAAATGTGTACACTAATGAAAGCTCGAGCCTAAAACTCAAATACGTATAATTGTTTATATAACTCTGAAGTTTGTGTGTGTGTGTTTATCGTCTTTCTGCGAAGGCTGGTTATTCTTCTTGGGAGAGTGCAAGACACTCTCTCCTTCCTTCTAGGTTGGATGTTGAAAAATCGACATGTCGTACATTTTCCCCACGCGCACACGCTCGAGGCGCAGCTGGGTTGTTCACATGGATCTGTCGAGGTCAGCCACTAATATGCTCCACCCATCAGATCATTGCCTCACCTGACTTATCTGAAAGACACGAGTATACAGTCTGTTCTTATATGATTTTTCTAGCTTAGGTGTGACACAAGGCCGAAAGTATGAGGTTCACAATCAACATCGAACTCACTTGTGATGGTTTTAGCGAGACAAACTTGTTTACGATTACATTACGTCAAGGTGACCAAAGTCTTTTCTGATATGATCTGGAGTGAGTCCAGTACATACTACAAAACAATGTTTGTGCCATTCATTTCCATGCTTATTTAAATGCTCTATATTCTGTTTTAGCTTGATTACAGCCTGTATCTTAGAAATTGTTGTTCGTCACTAACAGATCCTGTTTTAGATGACAATAGTTTTATTTGCGTGTGGTTTTCAACATATTCAATATTTATCATTTTTCTTTGCTTTTGTTTAGTGTGTAATGGGAGTGACAGACAACGGTAAACCGGTCAGTCAAAACGCCACGACGACAGTGAAAGTCTCTGCATCATCCAATATAAACCCACCACGTTTTAACTTACCCGAGTATCGAACAACAGTGGATGAAAGCAATCTAGTAGGAAGTTCAGTCACCAGAATTTTAGCCACAGGAACCTCAACTTTTGTAAGGAACTACTTATTTTTTTCTCCTTTGAAAGAATTATGGGAAATGTTATTGCAAGCTATGTGTTTCTCAAAGGAGAACTGGCAAGAGGGTGATTAAAGAACATGCATGTAATAGTAATGGTAATATTAGCATTCATTTACCGAACAATTAATAATATCAGTTGAAATTTTTTTTTAATTTTTTTTACAACATTTTCAGAAAATAGGTTTCATCACTTTTTCTAGTACTAATGGGATTTTCCTTCATTTATTTCAGGTTGTATGGAAAGTTAACATTTTGATCGTCATTTTCTCTTCGAGCCAATATGATATCCATTTTACTTGTTGCTGCTGTTGAAAGTCCTCAAATGATGTGGTTTATTTGGTAAAGTTCTTTGGGATTCTGTAGCACTAGTCCCCAATATCCGACAAGGGACAGCCCTCTTCCCAATCACACGGTTCATTCGCTTGAATTCATTATTAGATCTGAAAAAACGGTAGTATATAGTTGTCAATTTAGATATATCTGAACGAAATGAACGCTATGCATGATATTCATATTGGAGTCGAGATCTGATGAGGCTTTCTAAGAACTTTTTTGTGATCGGGGGTGTCATTTTTTGGTTAATGTTTTGATTTTGTAGACTCTTGCAGTGTTGGGCAAAACTACTCATAACGCTGCCTGGAAAAATATTATTATTATTATTATACATTAAAGTCTATTATCAATGATTAAAAATGATTTGAAGTCAGTGAATCCTCTTTGTTTTAATTCTTCATTAGATCTTGTAGACTGGAGCTACATAATCACAAAGAATTTTACCGAATAATAAAAACACATCATTTGAAGACTTTCAACAGAAGCAACAACTAAAATGGATAACGCATGTCACTAGAAGGGAAAATATTGATATAATCAACATGTTGACTTTACATACTGCCTTAAAAAAAAGTTAAGAAGGAAACTCCCATAAGTCCTAAAACAAAACAATATCGGTTAGAGGAATTGAGACGTCTATTTTCCTTAAAAAAAAAAACAAAAAAAACTTTGATAAATAGTTTATAAATTTCAACCTACAGTGACACTAATAGTTTGGTCAGTAAATGTCAGTAAGGAAACTATTAATTTACCATTGCTATTCTATCGATATTATTTCATACTTGTCGGGCCAGTTAATGTAGCTTATTTTACTGTTATATTTGCTTGAACATAGCCTTATGCAGTAAACTACGGAAGAGGTCAAAGAGGCCCAGGGTTGCATGCATTTTTTGAAACGCTAGAAGAAAATTTCTTACTTCCAGGGCTAACACAGTTACGAACGTGTCTCACATGTAAACCTCTCTAAAAAAAAAAAAATGGCGGATTCGCAGGTTACACATTTAAAACAGATAGATTCCGAAGATGGATACTCTCGCGAGAGTATCTTTTCACATATGTAAATTTTGGATGTCAGTGAGGAGACAAAAAATGGCATAAGGAGGCGACTGTCGAGTAGGAGAGATGTGTTGCAGAGGAATTGATTAAGGAAAACAGATTGCAGTAAATTTTAACAAACCAGGGAAGAAAGTACAATTTTACACACTTTTCTCTACATTTTAATATAAATATTAAAGCTTAGGACTAATAGCTTAAGACTTGCCAAGGAATTCAAACATGATCGTTTTCTAAGCTTATCAATTCGATTGAGAACATTTTCAAGAAGCTATTTGGTTGTATGAAGTGAAAGAAAATGCCAAAGCTGTACTCTTGAAAATAAATGAATAACACATTTGGAAGTTGTCATCACTGGAACGATATTATTTTTTTTTTTTTTAATTTCAACATCTTCATATTATGGTTTCATTTCTTGTTTAGAAGTTTTATTAGTTTTTTTATGAACTAGTCAAAACTGTTTTTCTCCATTTAAACTTTTTAAATCAAATGAAAATTTGTAATTGCTGTTCCCATAGCTTTTTGTTACATAATGAATTATTTGCTTTTTTTTTTTTTTTTTTTTAGAAACATCGCTCATTATTGGATAAATATTTTTCTCATCTCAATCTCACATATTAAAGTTCACGGTTTTCCGAGCAATATTAATATTTGTCACTGAAATCAATTAACAAAAAAATGTTGGAAATTAAATACTTCACTTGAATAAATTCTGTTCTAACGACCTGATCGCTATTTCAGGCAATATATGCGTGTAAATGTAAAAAGAAAAAATCGAAAATCAGCTCTGTACATTATTTTGGTTTCCATTTTCCTAAATCATTTCACCCTAAGCAGGGCAATAATGCCACTAAAACACAATGGGCTTAATGGGAATGAAAGAGAAGAATTTTGAAGGAACCGGAAACTTAATCCTAAACAAGAAATATGGGATCAACCCACGGAGGAGAAGGAGTGTAAAACAGGTATATTTACAATATGCAAACCAAAATGATGTACAAAGTTGATTTTTAATTTCTTTTTTAAATGAAGTAAGTGAAAAATAAATTTACTTGTAATTTATTTACAAAATTACGAGTAAATTTATTTTTCACTTCATTTTATTAATTTTGATTGATTTTGAAGCAAAAACTGCAGATTTTCGTGTACCGTACAATACTGATTTGTTAGATTTATTTTTTATTTTGTGATTTTCTAGCTGGTCGTAAGTACGAGGGTTCAATAAACAGGTAAATCGCTAAGTGATGAGTTACTGTATTTGTTATGTAAAAATAATTGCATCATTATGCCGAGGACTTGATTTACCTATATCCTTTTCGTAGGAAACTGGGGTGTTTGAAGTTAGCATTACCTCCATTTCAGAGATGAAGCGTAATAGTTTATATTTCCTGAGAATGTACTGTTTGTTCCAAGTACCGCATTATAAGATGAGGTCGGAATTCTATACTTTAAACTTTCAATATCATCTGTTAAAAGATTTCATTTATCAGTAATGAATCAATAGTTGAGAATTGAATTCACAGAAAATCTTGGCGGAAATAGAACATCTTGAGGAGTAGAGGCAAACAGTAACCTACCTAAAATAGCAGACAGCGAGATGATAGAGAGAGACAAACCTTGATTCAATGAACAGGGGAAGCTGTCGAAAAACATGATCGCGTACATATTCTGAAGTACATAAAACAATAATAGTTTCTGATCTATTAATTCTTGATCTATTGAAGCAATTTTTTACTCATCTATTAATTCCCACAGTAAAATACAATATCATTTTTTTTAAAAAAAAAAGAATCGAGCGTAGTGGGAAACGAGTCAATGCGAAGGAACTTTTCCTTACCTGTAAAGTATATGCTTCGTCAGGGTTTTCTACAGTTTTGAATTCAGGGCTTTCTTTCTTCTCGCCCGGTTGTCACCCAAACCTATAGAACCCAGTCTGTCATACTATTTACCCATAATTGGGTGGGGGAGGTGAGTTGGATTCGTATCTTTCCTAAGGGTAATAGCACGTCAGTATTAAATATAGGCTTCTTTTTCTTTTTAAAAACAATACCAAAAAATTTAAGATTTAATTATAAACTTCTACCTCCAATCCATTAATGCCCAACATGAGAATAAGCTTTCAGTAAATATAAGTACCTCCACTAATTTGGTTAAATTTTCGATACCCGCACTAAAATAAATACATAAAATAAAAATATTTAGTGAAATAGAAATTAAAAAAGTAGCATATTTTAAAGTTTAAAAACTTTGAAGGAATGATGTGCATAACCTGTTGAAACGTAAACATAAGATGAATAAAGAATTGCAGTTAAGCGAATTTCTCCGTAAAGTTAGAACTCTTACAACACGTGATCTTTTAATAATAATGTCATGTATAGACTTCCATACATATAAAAATGGAAACGTTTAAACTAAATAAAATTAAAAATTATTTTTAAAATTTTGGGGCAAAACGACTTGTATTAAGCTTTCCAATCTTTGATTCGTAAATATTGTTTCCACTTAATTGCAATATTACCAAAAAGAAAGTAATACAGAATTTTAAACGATTACTGAATTATTATAAAAAAGTATTATAATTAAAATTTTAAAAATGAAAACAATTCTTGTAAAAATTCATTATTCATCGAAAAAAAAAATGATTAAAACATTAGTGTTTTTAATAAAAGCATTTAAAAGCTTCATTAATTAAATAATGTTATAGTTTGTTTGTTTTTTTAATCGTATCAGCACAATGACGATTTTTTTCAGATTTTCGGGAAAAAATCAGTAGTTTGAAAAAATTGATTTACATTCTCCTAGAAGTTCTACTTTTAACTAATAAACGATTTTTGGAAAGGGAATTTAATTTCTCGAAATTTCATGAAATTAAGTAGTAAGTAGGAGGGGAATAATATATATTAAAAAAAATTTACCAAAATTTTATGAAACAAAAAATTTAAAAATAACTTCATTATTTGTGAATAAGTTCTGAAAGTTTCATTAAAATCTTACAATTATTTGATTTTTGCAAGAATTTTCAAATCAATTGGCTTTTTTCACCGGAAAAAAGCGCAAAAACACTAAGTGAAAATATTACGTCAATGGCTGACGTAAAAATTCTAACGTGCTAGAAAGGATTCAAGAAAATTTTTAAATAATTTTATCTTTCCTCTATAATAACATTTTGACGATAAAATTGTTTTTATTTAAGGTTGTGGGCTTTTTTTTTTCATCATGCTATGCTGTTTCTTTCAGCGAGAATGTGAAATATGTACGCACTAAATTGAAAACAAGGGCAAAGTGGACACAGCACACGGGGACATGGCACATCAAAGGATTTATTTTCTCTCATTTTAAGACTAAAACACCTGTCAATAAAAGTTTATTAAAATATATTAATCAAAATTATCAAACTTAATCGTATCAGCACAATGGCGATTTTATTACTGAACTTTAATTTTCTATTTATTTTTAGGGACAAATTCTGTACCAAGTGGTTGGAGATTATCCCTCTGATGTTTTCTTCGATGTAAATAACGTAACTGGTGTTGTTCGTATCAAAAAAGATCTACGCTTAGACAACCTGCGTCAGATTTTATATACGGTAAGCTTACGTGAAAAACAAAGTTCGAACACGTAAAATTAAGATCCATAATCAATAAAAACAAGTCTTTAAAGTTCACATTTCAGCCAAATTATGTTTCACCTTCAAATGATTATAATGTAAGATTTTAAAAAAATAATTTTATTAATTTTTTAAAGTTTCATCTTCAAATGCCTTTTCTGAAGGCTGCCATTCTACAACCATTAAGCTTCTAGAAAAAATAACTTCTCAGTGAAAATTATAGTCATATATTGTTAGGCATATTCATCAAAGATATTTTCATAAATAACTTTTTTTAATTTAAAGTTGCTTAAAAGGATATTCTGACTGAAAGTCACATACATTTTGCATTATATGAAGGTTTCTACTTTTCAGTTGTTAGAAACTTATTAAAAAATTATTTTCCAATATTTATAAGTAGAAAAGCGCAGTTGTATTTCTTTTAATTTTGACAAATTCCTGTTTCTAGATATAAAATTACAATTTTGATCAGTAATTTTTAAAATCCTAATAAAAAATTGAATAAATGAAAATATTAAATTTTGAGAAATAAAATAAGTTACCGATTTCAAAATTAAATTTCGATAGGTAAATCTCAATTATTGATCCTTTTTATTTCGTGCCAGTATGCTAAAATATTGAAACGTCAATTTTTCAAATCTTTTGGCAGTTAAAAATCGTTGCCTACTATAGTGGTCAACCAAACGCTAAAGCTGAAACGAAAGTTTATATAACGACTACCCGCAATTCGAATGTGCCAGTCTTCAATCCATCCCAGGTCACCTTGACAATTGCAGCAACAACTCCTGCTGGAACGTACTTGAAGCGTCTTAACGTCACAGACGCTGATAGCGTAAGTTTTCTTCTGTGAAACTGTTTTTAGTCGAATATGACGATTATCAGGCTGCTTAATAAGAAATACTGTGGTTTAAGTCATTATCGGGGGGTAGATAAGTGTCACACACACACACACACACACACACACACACACAGAGGTTACTTCTTTATCAAGATTAAACTAAAATAATCGCTATCTTGTTCTGATAGCTTTAATTACAAAATAACTATTTGAGAATGTTTGATTAATATATCCTATAAGGTGATGAACTGCAAGAAAAAGAAAATTAATGTCACACGTGATGCATCAATGAATCAACTGCGACAAAATAATCCTCGATTTGAAATTAAAACTGGTTCTATGCATTACTAAATAAACCTTAACTATAAAAGAGTTTCGTAGAAATAATATTTTTTAATCATTTCACCCCCTAACAAGGATTCAATTAAAACATAGTACGCTTTTCTATGTCATGTTTGCTACATCTCTATCAGCACCACAAAAGAATAATTTTAACAGATCTGAGATCTCTTGCTGAGAAAATGAGTCGTGGTAATTGTGATAATCATTTTCAAAACATTAATTATTAAAAACGGTTCCAAGCGAATGAATCATTTTAGCTCTTAAAAAAGAAAGCAAAAACATTTGGAGGGAAACGCCATTCAATACTAGAGCAGTTGACTGGGGAAGTCTAATTTTCTGAAAAATTGTTTTCAGTAAAAGGATTATATAAATTCCAACCAATAGTAACAAACTGTTTTCTGTAACATTGTTTGAATGCCAGCTGATTACTGCATAGAAACTACTAGTTTTGCCATTACGAAGCCGCATCATCAATTAATTGATGACTCAAAATGTCAACCATTTCATATTTCAAATAAGCTATTTTTAAAATTTTGTTACACAATACAAGACAGATGCTTAGTTTGATGCCAAAGGTACAAGTAAACTTGCTTTTCAGCGTTAAATCAATTACTGTAGAAATGGTTTATCAGTTTATTAGCTGATGCCTACAAAGTAATCTAAGCTATGCAGTAGGTTGATAGTGTTAAAGAAATAAAAATTTATATAAAAAGCTTATTTTTTTTCTGTCTATATTTCCGAGATGAGTTATTGTAACTATTTAGTGGATAAAAGCATTGGTTATTGACTTTGTACCAAAGAGCTGTGAGTTCAATATCTGGCCACAGCAAAAATGAACAAAAACTTAGAGAGTTGAGTAACAAAATGGAGATAACTGAAATATCCAGAAACGGCATGACACGTGGAACTAGAACAATCTAAAACGTGGACAAATAAAGGGTTCGGTTCGAAATTCGAACGTATATCAGCCGAAGAATGCCGGTGCGTACAACGGCCGAAACTTCGTGAATATAACAATAAAATGAGGACAATAGTCCGAACAATGTAAATAGTGTAAATAGTTATGTTTTTTATCAAACTTATTTCCCACTTTGGCAAACATATTGCGAAATTATTTATAGCGTGAAAATTTTCATCATCCAATTTAGCAATATCGAAAAGCATCGCCCGTTTTTTGTTGTCTGATATTTTCATGATAAATATTTCTGTAAATAACTATAACTTATAACCAATCTATATATTTTTCCTCTCTTTTTCCAGAAATTCGTCACCTGCAAAATCATCAACGACGCCTCAGCCATGGAATTTTTCCAAATTGACCCTAACAGTTGCCTTTTGACTCTAAAGAAAAGTCTTTTGAAGGACACGGCACAGACGAGCAAATTTTTCGTAAGTTTCAAATGATCACCACTATAGATACTGACGCAATTTTTTTTCAGTCCGTCAAGTACATGTAATTCAATTATATGAGAAGATTACAACAAATTTTACATTATCATATCTTATATATGAAATTACGTATTTTATTCATATAACTAGTCCACTAATGTTGTCAAAAATGACGCCACTTGTTGTTAAGTCTTTAAAATTTTCACATTTGAATCTTTAAATATATTTTTAGGCTTCGTAATTGTCTTGGAATAATTCAAATAGTTCTCCATGGTCATAGAAATGTATCAGTAATAAATCTTAGACACTACTACTTGGCATCACTAAAGCAAAGGACATAACTGTATACAGTAAACAGTTACAAGCAATACAAACAAGACATACTGGCGCATTATATAAAGATTATAACAAATGTGTTGTGGGGTTAGGAATGAGTAACCTGGAAGACAGAGCCTTGTTACTGTTGCGGCAAACGTAAATCCAAGCGTCAAACAAAAAAAGACATTGAATATGGGTAAATAGATGTATAATTTATTTACATATATACAAAACTAGTCTATCTGTTGCTGTCGCTAAGGCAACAGGGAAAGAGAATGGTGAAATCTGTCGTCGTCGGTGGGATGTCTCTCAGCGTGCCTGTGTTGACATCAAACATTGGTCTGTTTCGGGTCTGTTTGAATTTGAGAATATATAGCCGTCTATTTCCACAAAATGAAGGGTTTGGGTTTTGAGGGGGTGTGGCTCTGGATGGTCATAATGTATTGTTCATTTTATTTTAGTTAAAGCGGATGTATGCGCGGAGCCGATTCACATAAAACCTATTTACGCAGTGTGGTCAACACCCAGTTTGTGTAGAAAAATGTAAGAGGCACGACAAATGTATTGGAATTGAATTCTGATTTATCAAATTTTCATATGATATCATGTTCACCGATATTAACTATACACTGACATGGTATAAAATCCTATGTATTCCTTTACTTCATGATATATAAAATACAAGATTGGATATTTTCTTATCAAATGTAAGATTTGCATTATCAGCTGTGATAATAACCATATAGCACTCTTTGAACAATAAGAAGCTCTAAGTTGGAATGATGATCCCTCTTGCTGTTGTGGCCTCCTGATCCAGTTTTCCTCTCCACTGTTTCCTCTTTTTTTTAAAATTATTAACCGTTTTCTCGGTGTTTCTTGAATGGATTTTGAAGATGAAGATGAAAGCCAAAGTATGAATGTTAGTACCATTACTGAAGGCCTGAATGATCAATTTCCTCTCACCATTACTCAGTTGGGAAAATAGAGTGCGGTTGACACGAAATGATTTTAACCTGTCCTCTTTCTAGCTAAATAATTTAAGAGTTTTTCAGTGATTCTTACGAGAAATGATGTCAGAATGGTTAAACGTCTTATCTGAAAACCTGGAAAAAAGAAACTCAATTAGTTTATTGTTTTTTAGATATTAGATATTTTATGGGGTGGACAGTTATGTTGTTACACGATTTGGATGATTTTGCTGTTACACACGGTATATATATATATATATATATATATATATATATTATTCCAAAAATAAATATACATTTGTTCCTCACCTGTCGATGCAACTCTGAATCTTATATAGCAATCGTTAGGTACAAATAACAAAATCTGTTCATTCTATGAACACACAAACGTGCCCATGGTAACTTTGCTGAGCGTGTCTCTGGGATCGATGGTCGTATGTACCGTCTAATCGTTTGAGTTGTGATTCCCGACAACTCGTATTTATAGAGGGATACCCGCTCGTGCGTCCTGCGTGCCTTATACCACCTCGCATATGTGAGCTCTCAGAGATACAGCGTTTCCCAAATTCTGGGAACACGCTAAGAACAATACACGTACGTACGAACACTCACCACAATACACACAGACACCATACAAACTCTATGTAACTGTCCATGTGCTTGTAACTTATACTTGTTGTTACTACATATATTTGTTTGTATATAATTATCGGTCTTGTTTGTTTTCTTTGGACTTAAAGTCCAACATTCTCATGTAGCTGGGCCGGCTAGCAGGAAATTTTAACCCCCGTGTGTTCTTTACATCTTCACCCCAAGGTCCTTTACACTTTTTAATCCAACCAATAATAAAATAATAAAATTGCTTGCCAAAGAAGATTACATTGTCACAGTTGTAATATGATTCACCAATTTATCTAACGGCCTGCCACAAAAATGAAGAAAGAAGCCTTAGATATTTTTAAAATAAAAAAATAACAAAATAAAATTAAAACCAATAAGACGGGTAACAATAACAAAACTGACGTGGATTCGTATTGCTGAACGCTTAATAACGAAGACACAAAGTCTTACAATTTTACAAAAAAAGCACCTGAATGTTTTGGGAAAAGACAGATAAAGAAGCCAGAGAAATAGCTACTGATTTAAAGATTGGTAATATAATCAAGATTTTATAAGCAGAAATCTATTTTTAACGATGAAGAAATGCAAGCCTAACTTGCATAACAACCATAAATATGTATTGCTCAGTTGTACAAAAAATAATATCAGAAAAATTAGAAATGCATTAAGAGTCAATGACATAATACGAAAGAAGCCATTGACTAGTTTACAAAAATAAAAGGGGAAAAATGACTGTACGATCATCCAGTTTGATATCAATGATTTCTATCCGTCAGTTACTGAAACGCTTCTAATAGATACTATAATCCCAGCTACGATCTATTGCACAGTTAGCGAGAAGGGAATAAGAATAACTAGATAGGCTCAAAAACCTATAGTGTATCACAACAGATGCATGTGGACTAAAAGAAATAATGAACATAACTTTACTGTGTGGATATGATTCGGAAGAAAAAAAATGGGGATATTTATAATATGGCGACTAAGATATCTAATCGATATCAATAACACAGAGATTTATATTATTAAGAGAGAAAAAAACAAGAAACATCGATAGATCAAGAAAAATTGGAAAAATTCATTAACGACCATGATCTAAAAATTACTGCTGTAATTGCGCAAAAGTAGTCTTTCCTGGCGTAACCTTGTCCTTGAATATAAACTATATATAAAAGGACTATATATAAAAAGACTAAGCAGTCTGGGAAACGTAATTAGTAAATTAAATCATTCCCTGATTATACTTAAACACTTGGAAAAATCGCTACAGTACAGTTTGGTATAGATAACACTAGCAATAAAGAAATACCACTGAATTAAGTAACTCTACGAAGACAGATATTAGAGGAAATATTTTTGTTATAGACTTATGGATGCACGTCAGATTATATTGATGAAGGTTGATCAATAACCTTTACAGTTATTAGTTAATTTGATCTGTAATGTTCGCTCTATAGTATTCGATCTCTATGATCAATGGAGAAGCGTTGGCTTAAGTTGCAGTGACAAAACGGATTACGTCGAAAAATAAATGATTTTCTTCGTTAGTGTATGGACATTCACTTACGTAAATCTCTACAATAAATACACACATTACCGATTACACATTGTTTTGTTTTTTGTTTTGTTTTGTTTTATTCAGATCACGGTTGAAGCAAACGACAATGGTAAACCGAATCCGCAAAAAAGCACTGGCTTCGTGATCGTAGATGTTACGCGTGTGATAATTCCCAAATTCGAAAACTTGCCCTTTGTCATAACACAACCAGAATCGACAATTAAAGGAGATCTTATATACACAGTGAAAACAACAAAAGCAACATCTGTAAGTATTGCTTTTATCCTTGCAAAATTCTCTGTTCAGAAGTTTAAATGTTTTCATTAAATGTTTTTCGATCAGCTGAAGTAGATCTTCCTGATTATCTTTCTATGCAATGTCAATCGTAATTGTCTCGTGAATTGTGCGTAAACAAAACATCTGATAATTTCAATGAAACATTTTCATACAGAAATTGGGGAAATGGTATCAATTTCTCAAGCTATTACGTTTAAAATTTACTGAACAGTGACTTTAGTACTTCTAATATCGAAGACTATTACTAAACACGTTTAAGTCATTAAAAAATAACATTTACCAGATTAAAGGTAATGAAAAAAAGGTCTTTTGAACAAATGGCTTCGTAGAACAAAATTCTTGGGGTTAAAACCAAACAAGAAATAGCAGCATTCTTAAAACTTGGATATTCGAGTCTACAAATAAAAAGAAGTAAATTCTTGGTGCAACGAAAATACAAATAAAAACATTTTAGTGGCTTTATTTCTTTGCTTGGGGGTGGGGAATGATTAAAAGAACACAAGTTATAAATCTAACGATTAATGTGTTCTTTAAAATATCTCGATAGATTTCTCAGTTGTACCACTAAAGATAATCGACTAAAATGTTGTAATTTTGAATAATAAAGCTCTAATTACATTATATTAGTACGATATTGAAGTGGAAAAGGAAAATGTGCTAATTTTTTTTATTTTTTTATTTCAAGGGAAATATCGTATACGAAATCACTGGTGACAATATAGCCAAAAATTACTTCACGGTGGATCGTGTCAATGGCGAAATAAGAGCCAGCCAAAACTTGAAAGATGACCCTCTGAAAAGCACACAGTATAACGTAAGTTATCAAGGAATTCCCGTTTTAAAAATAGTGAAATGTTTGTTTCTACCTCAAATAATAAGAAAGGTGCAATTAAATGTAGGAAATGAAAAGACAATCAACATAAATAAATAAAACCATACACTGAACAAATGCCTTAAAATATGATTAAAGTGTTTCAAATTTCAAGAAATTAATTTTATTCATTCCCCAAATCTTTTGCGCAGTTAAAGCATCCTTAACCGTTCTTTATTTCTGCGGTGGTTTTGAACCCTCCCCGAAAAATGGTTTTCCCTTAATACAAGTGGCAAGTCAAAAATGGTTTTCATTAAAGCAAGTGGCAAGTAAATTTTTTTATGATTAGTCAAATAGTTTTTTTTTAGTTATGTTTATGAATTAAAAGAAATTTTATACGTTTAGTGAAAAATAAGATAAAATTTATACCTGTATAATTGAAATGTATAAATCCATTTTTAATATTGGCATTTTAATTCGAATTTTCTAAATAAATTTCTTTGTTTTTGATTTTTATTTATCCACTAAAAACCAGAAAGTAAACAAAACAACATATGACAAGAAAATTAAGAACTAAATAATATACCGCTGATAAATGAGGTGTTTGAAAAGTTAATGTTGCTATACTGAGACCATGACCCAGAGAACATTAACTTGTATAGCTTACCCGCCTAACAAAGCAAAATTACCTACGATATGTTTTGTAAGCGAATTTAAGTCTTCAAATTGCTGGATATGTGCTTTACTTAGACAAATGTGTTTTAAACGTTCAGTATTAGTAAGAATAATCGTTTGGATTTGAGCATGAAGATCGATGATATAATCATAAAGCCAAAGGTCAACGGTGATGAAAAACTAAGATTTTATGGGGACCTGAAGATTCAAACCGACAAAGCATCTCTGTCAATATCTACAACCTGATAAAACCTCTAAAAAACAATTTATAAACTTTGAAAATTATTTCGTTGTGCAAAATTTTATTTTTGTAAAAAATATTTTCAGTGGTATGTTTTATAACAATTCAAGCGGTAATATAAATCTTTGTTAATTGAGAATTATCAATTAAAGTTTCTCATGTTAAAATTTATAAGGTTATAATTTCGACAGCTTTCTCTAAATGTTAAAAAATACTAATATGGTTTGAGACATTGAGGATTAAGTAATGTATATTGGGTCATAAAAAATAAACATTGAATATGAATCACTACTGCTAAATAAAAAACATTAAATATAAAACTTGATCAGTAAAAATTATGTTCCGATGGCAAGTAACAAAATTAAGCAGACAATACGAGACTGGCGAACGCGCGTCAGTATAGACGCGAAAGAGGCATCGGGTCGCATGTGGATTTGTTGGCCACCACTAGGTGCATCCAGATGTTTTCCCGTTAGCAGCAGTACAGTTTGTCTAGATACGGGCCTCTCTGCAACTAATCAAAATCTAGGTCTTTGTAAGATCCTTCATGCCAATAAAAGCAGAAAAAACAGCTGTCAGCAAGATATGGTGTCTTGTGAAGTCGATCTCGTGAGCATTTTTATTCCGCAAGTTGCTGTGGTTTCCGAGGCAGTGTTATTTGTATTACCTCCCGTCTTTTTTCCCATCTGCAACTACGGGTGTAATACATCCGTAGTTGCTGGGAGAGTTAGGTGTGTCTCCCAACCTCAACACGCACATTACTACAGACACTTTAAATTCACAATAACAATTTTAAGTTGCTTCACTGTGTCGTGCCAGAAAATTTCTTGTCAGAAGCCATTTTGCACATTTATAAATCTACCATTCGTCTGTGCACTGAATATTGTTTGCCTTATCTGGTTTGTTTCTCCTACTATACATCTTAAGATTCTTGACAAAATTCGAAGAAGAGTCTGTAATGCAATTGATCCTGAACAAGCATCGTGAGTTGGTTTCCCTCTGTCTCTACAAATATTTTCATGGCAATTATTCTGATGGTTTTTTTTCCTGGCGACCCGATTACATGAATTTAAGCGTGCTACTGGATTGGCAATTAGGTCTCATGGACTAGCTTGATGCAACCGCCTCTTCTACTCTAACAGTTTTCTTGAATCTCCCACCTGTATAACTCCCTCCCAATTTCTTGCTTCCCTGATAACTACAATGTTCAAAAGTTTAAGTGCCACGTCAATCGCTATCTTCCGTTTTCTTGAACCCTGTTCTTTTTTGTCCTTTCCTCAATCCTCCCCATTCTCAGTCTTCTCATTCTCTTTCACCCCTTGTAAACCCCAGTATTCTAGTAGCATTCACGCCTTGCTTGAAGTAAAACGATTAAAAAACTTAACCACTGTGTTATTTATAGAGAAGTAATCTTATAAGATTAATACGAAAGAGAATAATACAAGATAAAATTAACGAAAAGTGTATAATCAAACATTATCCAAAATTCCCTTTTTGGATTAATGCAGATTATTTTAAATGAAAAATAGATAACAACAATTTAATACATTACCTTAATAGGAAGAATAAAAATTGTTCCAAAATTCTTTCTTATTGTGAAAGAACCGCTTTGTAGATTTACATTCATTAGTCTAGGCGTTTATGATTATAAACATTTAAAGTTCAGTTATAAATGCACAAGACTAGTTAATAAGCGTGAAAATGAAAAATGACATTGTAAAAAAGTTGATTGATCTTTGCTGGAGGATCAATAAGAACCCTCTTGGCCCGATACTTTTACTTACATTTTCTCAATAGAAAATTGAGAAAATTTTGGTGTACGCTGTGGTTCAGATGCTGGCTAGAAGTAACCGCACTGTTTCCAATGGCAACCTAAGTTATAAAACAAATAAATTTGCTTAACTAGACTCTGACCATTTTGTTGAATGTGGCACAACCAGACACTTGTATATTCGAACATTCAATAGATATTTTTTCATAAGTTTGTATAACTACATTTTGTCTTTTATTCTTTTTCAGATAAAAATAAAAGCCTACAATACAAATTCTCCCCAAGATGCTACCACTAATACTTTAATTGTGAAAGTCAGTCGCAATACAAATCCACCACGATTCTTCAAGCCACTCTTCTCAAAAAGTATCAGCAACAATTTTCCTGTTGGTCAAATCATTTTGGTACTCCAAGCAACCGACCTGGACAATGTAAGTGGGGTGACTACAATCTTTTCGTACAAACAAACTTGGGGTGATATTGCTAACTATTTTAATCGCTTTTAATTTATTTCTAAAACATCAAAGAAATAATGACTTCTGAAATACTCACCATTTGAGCATATGACTCTCAACTATCAAACTATGTTTCTATTAAAACGAAGAATACGATTATTTTAGCCATAATTCTCTCTCCCTCCAGACCATTCAAAATCATTGGAATTGTTTATTACACTCTTTTGTGTTGTAACATTATAAACGCTGCTTTGCATCTGCGATTATATTTTATCTAGACGTTCTTAATCAAATTGAAATTCATGCTCGCTTTGCATTTATGAATCGAAAATGAAAATAAATGCGATACACTTGTGACGCTTATATACATATGTGCGTAAATAAAAAAATATATCTTTCACATACCCAAATGGATAAAATTAAAAAGTGGCAAATATGGGAGGTTATTTCTCCTTAGATCACGTGATCCTACAGTAATATATAAACTGCGCCGAATTCAAAAACCAAGTGCTAATTTCAGCGACATGCTTTCTCCCTACTGTTCACGATTTCTCCCTCTTTCTATATTCCTTTTTTCTTTTCTTCTTTCCATATAAACTATGATTTTAGTGGTAACTAGCCTCAAAAATGTTTCAATCTTTACGCTTTGTCTTTCATTGTTTTACTTTCACATTTCAACTATCCTTTTTCACAATGTTTTGAATATAATTACAACATATTCCAGAACTGAAATTCGTCGTAATATTTCAAAAGTAAGTAAAACAACCAAAAGATATACATTGATTCCAATTGTTGTAACATTTGCAGGATATGCTGACCTATTCTATAATGACGACCGATCCAGACGTGAATAATTATTTTAAAGTGCAAGCCAATGGAAATATCATTCTTTTAAAGCAACTGCCATCAACATCAAAAATCTTCACAGTAAGTTCATGACCTAGTAAACTGTATTTTTGTATTTTCAGAACTATAGCAGATAACCAAGTTTTATTTCGAAATCTTTACTAAACGGTTTGTCCGGTAAATCTTCCAAAGATGATTTTTCTCCTCAGTTATATATATATATATATATATATATATATATATATATATATATCCAGGGCAATAATAATTCTGGTACAGATATATATAATATAATCTGTCACAGATTGTCCTTGCAATACAATAGGGGAACATGTAGAATTAAAAAAAACGCATCTGTGAACGCAAAAAGAATATTATGTACAAAAATTTATCAAATGCATTAGCCATTCATAGAAATACATTCAGTCACAATTTCAATCTAAAATATGCCTTAATTATTAAAAAAAGAAATATCTTACTTAGATGGAAAATTCTTGAGTATGCCCCTATGGAATCTTATCAAAATATATCTCCGTTCCTGAAAGAATTACTTCTTTCCTCCAGTCAATATACATGGCTATAAAACATGTTAAAAAATTAAAGCAAAACGTTTAACTTCATAACCTTATATTATTTAAAATAATACATTAATTAATCCCAAATTAAAAGAATATAAATATTAATTACATCGTATGAAATTTTTTTACTCACTTTTTTAACATTTACTCATTTTGTTTCTTACACATTAAATTGTCATTTATCGTCTTCCATAATTTACCTGGACATTTCAGATGTATATTTATGAGCACTCCTAAATTTAAAAAAAATTGGAAAACTAACATTTTACTTTTTTTTTTATAAATACTTGTTGCAAAATAAAATCCATGCATTTGCCTTGATAAACGCGCTGGCTAAGTTATTCATTTTGTCTTTATTCACACACACACACACACACACACATATATATATATTATTCATATATATATTTATTTTTTCAAAAGTTTCCCGTAAAAGTGAGTGATAACCGCACCCCAGAGAAGACTGACGCAGCATCAGTGACGATCAACGTAACGAGTTCCGTTAGTAGCCCATTGGTCTTCGTAAATACGCCTTATAAGAAACAGATTGGAGTTAATACGCCGGTGAATACTAACATCTTCCAAGTAAAAGCAACCAGCGCCGATAAAACGGTGAGATTATTATTTATTTTATTACATTCAAATTGAGTGCAGTCGAGATATTTTATAAATGGTAAATTTGTTTTATTTGTTTTCTGTTACTCCCTTGTTATTTATTGGCTATCTCACGAAAGTAAATGGAACACGGATTTGAATCTGATGTGGTAATCTCAAACGTCTACATCTGGGTAGAGAACGCTTTATCATACGTTGTTCAGGCCCTCCGTATACATTCACGGAACATGATAGGGAATATCTATCTCTAGACTGATATAATCAAATATTTCACATCGGTGCCAATAATCCGTTTTTGAAACCATGAATACTGACTTTTCTATGACTACAATGACACCTGACGTAGAAGATACAATCTTTTAACATCGCATTTCTCTTTAGTTTACCTGCATTGCGCCATACCAAGTTTAGTCTGTATCAAAAGTTAGGAATGATAATGAAGGCACAGCAATACAATAACCCATTTTCGTTTTATCGCGTAATGACCGTCGAAGAAAGATAACTTATTTTTGTTTGTTTAGCAACATATACTCCTTATGGGTTATTTAATGCCGAAATTTAATTTTCTTGAGAGCATTAGTAATTTCTTTTACAAAAATGTATTGCTAGTAATTTTTCCTCTTCAAAAATGTATTAATGGTAATATTTTTTCTTACAAATATGCATTGCTGGTAATTTCTTTACTGTGAAAATACGTTGCTGGCACTTCTACTACAAAAATGTATTTTTATACTTTCATAGTGTTTTGACCCCAGTTTGGAGGTTAACTATTTGTCCGTAGCTGGGACCCTAAAAGGTACTAACACCTCGAATCAGGGCAGACCTGGGAACAAAAATAGCCATTAAGAGGTGGTTCTACGCTCCTCAAAACTTCCCGATCAGTGGCCTTGCTGCCAGATGTAGTTTATCATTATACCCAGGACGAATATCACTTGATGCTGGTTGCAGTTTAGTGTTTATGTGTATCCGAAATCAATAAACAAATCCTCCAATTACTCTTTTTTTTTCTATTCAGAATCAAATCGAATACAAATTTTCGGGCACAGTAGAAGGGATGGAATACTTTGGAATCAATAAAATTACTGGTGAAGTTTACGTGAAGAAAGATTTGTCTATACACCCAGGAAAAAAACCTGTCTTCTATGTAAGTATGCTTGTCTATTTATCTTTTGAATATTTGGAAACATATCGATCAACACTTTTATTCGTAAATTGCTTCAAATAACTAAATATATTTTCTTTTGCTTCCATTTAAAATTTTTCCTCCTCCTGGACATTTTTCCTTTCGTGATGCGTCTTTCTTTCACTTTTTCATATCATTTCTCTTTTTGATTATCTCTATTTTCATCCACTCGATGATGGCATCAATTTCGACATGTCTTATATATATATATATATATATATATATATATATATATATATAAAGATGTATGACAAATTAGAAAAAAAATTGTGATGCTTTTCTTCCGTTCGGACTTCATCGGACTGGGTTTGTTGACTACACATGCGCGTGAGCGAGAGACGCTGATAGTTTCAAAATTTTTGAAGGAATTTTTTTGCAATCCGGTCAATTTCATCTATTTTTTTTTCCATCATCTATCTTTTTAAATATCCCAGATTGTGATAAAATCTGCCAAGAATGGTGCAACGTTGTAAGAACCTGGACCCTACTGTTAATGAACTAGCGACTTTCTAAACATTTTCGCCTTTTCTTTTTCTGATATATAAAAATTTATATATCGTTATCCCATATATATATATATATATACATATACATATATATATATATATATATATATATATATACCTACGTTTGGTGTGCGACTCTAGTTTCGATGGTTACCCAACTCATCGGGCAAGAGATATAGCTGATTGTTTATTTAAATATCATAATTATACATGGGCTGGACACCTATTCGTAGTTCAAAACTGGGGTTTGAGTGCGGGAAATGAGGGGTAGGCATGAGTCAATAATAGAAAAAAAGGGAAACAGAAGTACGCTTAAATTTTAAAATTTGGACGCTGTTCGTAAAAAACGTTTGACTGGTTAAAGGGAGATAATCTGTATATGGCCTGAAATAAATGTGGATGGAATTAAATTTAGACGGAAAGTCAGAGAAACAATTTTCTGTGCATACAACTAAGCTCATTTCGTTTATTTAGTAATTTTGGATTAGTAATATACTTTAGGATGAATAATTTTTCGTGTAAACATAGATTGCACCTGCCCCTCTCCTTACTGCCTGAGAATGGATTGATTTTAGCGACCAATTCCCAATTCACTGTGAGTGTGTAGCTATCTGTTTTGGTACCCCAATAAAATTTAGAGAGTGCTGAGGCATTTGCGTATTTTTTTTTGTTGTTATATTATATATATATATATATATATATATATATATATGACAGCCGAAACTTTGTGATAGAAACAACAAAGATTATGATGTAAATAGTATAAATAATGAACTAGAAATTGTAGCTTATGTTTTTTGTATTTCTCCACCCCATATGTGTTAAACTCGACTGATAAAACGATTTTCGATTAAAATCCTAATCTGAAGTCCTTTCGAAGGATGAAACGCATTTCGTCATTTCAACTATTACTCTGATATAGGTTCGTATATTATATCTTAAAATGAACACGGTATACTTAAATTATTAAGGAGATATTTCCTTTCTAGATGAAAAAAAAACTTTTTCCTTATTGTAGAGAATTTCTGTACATGGTTTAAGGTTGTCTCGCTAGATCAATTACGACTGAATAGTGAGTTCGATCCTCACCGGGTGCCACATACGTTAGGTCTTGTGCTACACCTAAGCTACGCTTAAAAAACACCAAATGCGCGAACGACTGTAGCAGCTTAATAACCGTACTCTTTTTTTTTTTTTATTACCGTACTCTTTTTTTTTTTTTTTTTTTATTACCGTACTCTTTTTTCTTTTTTTATTACCATACTCTTTTTATGCTTATATCTTCAGCTGTTCGTGAGTGCCTACAAAATCTCCAGTCCACAAATCACCAAAGTAACCATTATGGAAATAACAGTGCTGAAGAACCAAAATTCACCTTTTTTCATTCCTTTGCCGCCATACTTCACCAATATCAATGATTATGATCCGGTCGGTACTCCTGTATATGACGTTAATGCAACAGACAATGACAAAACAGTAAGTAAGCTTTTGGTTTGCAATTCTTGATTCTTGTGTAATTCTTTAAATAACATCTTTTCAATAAATCGCTTGGAATTAACAATCATGATGAAAGTTTTTTGTGTAACGATGTAAAATTTTTCACTGTAATCTATTATAATAAAAATATTATAATATTTTGCTCTACTTTGTATTGAGCACTTAAAAAATAGTAAATGCTACGAACCGTGGCTTTTACTCAATTTGTTCTTTCTCTTATTTTGTGTGTGTGTGTGTGTGTGTGTGTGTGTGTGTGCATATGTATGTATGTGTTTGTTTGTTCTACTAAACACACCAGAAATATGAGCAGACTGGTTAAAATAGAAGTACTGTAATAGATCTAATTCTTGTAAATTAAACAATGGCCAATCACTAATTAATAAACCTGATTTTGAAAAGGGTCATTTGACTGAAACTTTTTTCTGGAGATGAACTTATGAATGGTACATGAAATCGAAACGTCGTCAACACGAAGCGGTATCAATTTTAAACAAACTGACCCTAATGTTTGTTTTTTTTTTTTTTTGTTTTTTATGCACTATAAGCCTCCCCACACAAAAACACACACTGATTAGGTTGATTTTCATTTGTTTTAATTATCCCTTTAAATTGAAGGATTACACAAAACTTTAACAAAGCCTTTCTTCTTTATTTTATTTTTCAGGATCCAGAGAACCGGATTCTTTATCGGCTGACTGACACAAAAACCTTCTTCAGTATTGACCCTAATACTGGACTCATCACAATCAACAAACCATTATCTATGGATGCACTAAAACGAAAACAATATCAGGTACGTTATTCACTACTTTCATAAAATAAAGTTTAATTAGTATTTGTGTTGGGTGTGAGAGAGTAAAAGAGATGCTTCAGATTTTACAATTTTATAAATGTTCTGCCAATTATGAGATAGAAAACTATTGTCAATGCTTGCTCCATTTTTTTTTTTTTTTTTTTTTTACAAGTTTTTAGTACACTCACGTTTTCTTGAAATCAAAAACAGCTAGTCAAGTCTTCATATTTGTTCTTATCTAGCTGGTTATTGTGGCTGAGGACCAAGGCGAACCATCAAAGTCTACTTCAGCCAGCATCACGATTTCTGTGGCACGCAACGACAATCCGCCAAGCTTCAACAATACCAGCAACATTGTCAACATTCCAGATACCGTCGGTCCGCTAACCATTGTTTTCCGTGTCACCGCACAAGATCCTGACCCTGTAAGTATGTCTCTCATTCCATAATCAATGACAGATGAAAGAGTTTGCTATTTATCATTGTTCATATTTATTTTATAACAGTTAAAATAGATTATCGAGTTTTTGTTAAACTCATTTACCTGTATACCTTATATACCTGTAATATGAAAATAGCGTAACGGCATCGAAGACAGTGAAATCAGCTGGCCGAGTTCAAATTTTGACCCCGTCTGCTGCATTTACTTTCAGAACGGTATAATCTCTATTTTCCCAACAAAGTGGGCAGTCAGTTAAGGCAAAACCATGAAGAAGTTACCGAGAAACTATTTCACTATAATTGACAAGAAATCGTTGTAATTCATACATAATAAAGAAAAGGAGTTTGAAAATATCCGACACAATATAGCATTTCTATCTGCAATATTTATTTTCTCATTTCATTTTAAGTAATTCCCGCTTTTCACTTGGATAATCTTTTCTTCCGATAAAATTATTATTGGAACCCAAATTAAATGCCTGTCAAATAAAGTTTTAGTTTCACGCTATATGATTGATATTTTGAATATATGACTATTATATATGACTTCTAATATGTAACAGTTACTTTAAATTTATGACGAATGCTTTAAATATAATGCCAGTACAGTCGAATGACTGTATTCATACTCTATATTAGATTCAATATATATATATATATATATATATATATATATATATATATATATATATATATATATTCAAAGCATCTAAACAGGCTGATCAACAGCATTTGATTATCTGTAGTTTTAGTTTATCAATTAAGCCAAGTTGAAAAATGAATTTATTGAATGTAGAGATATTTCTCAATTTATCTGTCAGATTTGATCGGAAATATTTTTTGCTCAAGTGAATGTAACACCTTTTGTAGTTTATTTTATTTCTGTTGAATGCAATACTTTTTAAAATTCGAGAAACAATATTTCATGCCAGACTTATTCCGGGGTTTCATTAATAAACATTCTAATCCTTAATCTATTTCACATTCAAATGTTGCTAACATATATATATATATAGAGTATTTCTTTGTACAGGGAAAGAACGGTGAAATAAGATACAACCTGACAGGACCCGATAACGCCCGAAAGCTCTTTGAAATCGACCCGGTAACAGGAATCATTAGAACAAGGATTTCACTGAAGGGTCAAAGTCAGACACCTTTCCCAGTAAGTTAACTCCACGGTATTTCAGAAAGATTACCCTCATTACTGACACGTTTTATAGCAAAAATGAGAAACAGCTGGATAATTCTCTTTTCATGACATACAATTCATGTCAATATTTCATTTGAAACTAGTTATTCAACCAGTGCATCTCTAAAAAAATATTTTTATCCATAGAAGCGGTTACAAGGGACTTTTGCTTGAAATACACAAACACATCATCAATTAATGTTTAACTCTTTCGTTTGTAATGGTTAACCATAATTTCTTTTGTAACGAGAAACCATGACTACTTATAATTATTCTTAAAGTCCTTCCTCAATATTTCTTCTGTTAAAAGAATTATCATCTAACATCAATCAGTCACTTTTTAAAAATTATGCACAGAAATAAACCTTCCTAATAAAATTAAATATATAAATAAATAAATTAGATATAAATTTGAGATATCGTTCATGAAACCGCCTAACAAACATTTCATGAATAATCATCACACGCCTTCTTTTAGTTTATCTAATCCTTTAATTCTAAGATTATTTCCACATAAGGGCAATCGAGGACTACTTTATTTTCATGCAAAATAGAATTCCAACTCTTTCAACATTAGAGAACGTTTTGTCTTCGAATATCCCTCCTTTAATGTTGATCACAATCTTCTGTGTATGTCTGATATTAATAATTCATGAATTTCTGACCAATTTTTGTAAGAAATTCTATTTAGTAAGTTCACAAATGCTTTAAAGGTAACTTTCTATTGTGATGTATCTTAAAATACTGTTCTCAATATTTCTCTAATTTTTAGGTTCTTGTTACGGCAACTGACTCCGGAGTTGATCGGAAAGTCTCCACGGCGCAACTGATCTTCCAAGTGAAATCCACGGATAAGCCGTTCTTCAGGAGTCCCGTTTACGAAACAAGCGTTAACGAAAACACGCCCGTCGGTGATTCGGTGATCACGGTCAACGCTGAAGATCCCAGTCAACAAACTGTAAGCCGGATTAAAAAAATTGTTTGATTTGTTGCTTTAAAATAGAAACACTAATTAGAATGGCGACAATAAATCAAAGATAGTCTTTGGTCATTTCAAAGTATTAATAGCAATAATCAAGGAATTTTAGATAACCACTATGTTTTCAAAATTTTATAGCTAAAGTGTTTACTTACTAGTGTTGTAAACATACAACCGAGGCAATCATTCAGATTTTCATCGACTGAATAAATCACTCTACATTATGTTTCTCGTTTGCATCTCGTGGACATAAACTGTTAAAGTCTCAGTAGACGTGCACAAGGAAATAAAAGATGAAAATATCGCCACAGTGATAAAAGAAAACAGGAACCCAGTTTTGAATATACTTATTCATTTATGGATTTCAAATGGCACAGCCTGAAGTGTAGATAGGTGACACGTGGAACATCTTCGCTCATGACAGATTAACGGTACAGCTATTCCATGTAGCCAACGAGAACTATAGCCATCCATCTGCCCAAGACTGGTCACCTCCTAGCTTTCTGGTTGCTAACTAGTCTCGGCTTCGGACATTTCTCAACTGATTTCTTTCAACCGTGATTCTACTTATATAAGCCCACTGTCAGAAGCCTTCCGATCGAGTAGCATTCTATTCCAAAATTTTTATTTATTTGCTTCACTTCTCTCGACATGCGGACAGCAAGTGGTCACTTTTAAATCTCATATCTAGACTATTGTTCATAAAACACTATATTCATTCAGTCCCAGATAAAATCATTTAGAGAGCATTTCACTTTGTTAGTGTTCTGCTCATCGTTGGATTAAATGTCATACAGTTTTTCTATATTCTATAAAAGGTGTATGTCCTGGGCATGACAATAAACTACAACCGGCAGCAAGGAATCGGGAGATTTTGTGAAAGGAAACCACCTGTTAATTGTTGCTGTTCCCAAACACACCTTGGCCTGGGGTAGTAGCACCTGTTAGGGTCCCAGCTATGGGAAAATGGTAAACCCCCAGACAGGGGATTAAACACTATGAAAGTATTAAAAAAAAAACATGTTTGTAGTAAAAAATACCACCAATACATTTTTATAAAAAAAAAAAATTATCAGCAATACATTTTTGTAAAGGAAATTACTAATGCTTCCTAGAAAATTAAATTTCGGCATTAAATGACCCATGAGGTGTTGATATGCCCCTAAACAAACAAAATATAAATGTGTAATGAAAAACAAATGTCGTTACTTTAGAGCACAATTTAATCTAAGTTTGCATCATAAATTTCATATGTAATAATGTTGTGTATGGCTTGTTTTCCAAAAATCCGAATTGTGTATAGTCAGTGAACTCCCAGAAAATTATTTCTGCAGCTGCCTGATTATGAAATTGTTGAAACATAGAAGCGCTCAAAATTGTTGAAACGTCTAGCGAATACAGTTAAATTTAATCTAGAGATTAACAAGATCATTTAATTTCCGAAGCATTTTTATGTGGAAGTGTCTTCTTCTGACCATCCCCACCTGCCCATCATTTTTACTACCGACTCTCGCCTAACATCAATCTACCCATCTCTACCTCATGACAGACCGCTTCTTTTTCCACCATATCTATATCTTCGATCAACGGTTGGTCACCACATAACAGCTGGCTTCATTTTGACTCTGCCTCTCTACATCTACACTAACAGCCTGTTACCCACCAACTGACTACTTCACCTGGCCTACTTCACCTGAGATTCTGCCTATATAAGTCTATGACCGGAATTCTCTACCTTCCGGTCGAGCGTCACTTAATCACAAAAATTTTCATTTATTTATTTAATTACTTCCTTTTTTCCTACTTGTGGGACAGCAGGTGGCCACTTTGGAGACCTCACATCTGGGACTCAAGGGTTAGTCATAAAAAAACCTAACCCTTCTGTCCCAGATAAAATCATTTAGAGACAATTTCAATTCGTGGATGTCCAGATCACAGACACGTCTCATTGTGTTTCATAATGCCTCACTCGTATTGATTGAAAATAAAACAAAATTGCCATTGTATTGGTTATATTTCTGTGTGTGTATTCATGCAAAAAATACAACCAAAGTAATAGCAGTTTTGTTATGTGATTCAGGATTTTTCTATAAAATGAACTCTATTGATGCACGTAAAAAAAAAAGAAACAGCTCTTGAAATAATTAAAAGTAAAAATTAAAAAAAAAACTGATACAAAAGAAAAAGCAAACAATTTAGCAATCTTTTCTACTACTTCAGATATTCCGTTATAGAAGGTATGTTCGTTTGATTATCGCTTCTTTTTATCATAACGGAATATCTTGTAAGTCAAGCAGATTAAGACTAAATACCAATCACGCGCCCTAATCTTAATATAAACTCACATCGCGTATTAATTACGGTACAGATAGGTTTAAAATCTTTCATTGTTGACACAAATTAACTAACTATATTAAAAAACTGAGTCGTCGTAATATTAATCCTTTTTACAAGTGAAATATAAAATGAATTATTTTTTCTCTTTCAAAGGTCGATTTGGAGTATACGGTCATCAACAACGTGGATTTATTCAGTATGGATCTACAAGGAAACATCAAAGTCGCTAAATCACTCCTCAATATAAACATAAGACAAATAGACGTAAGTGTAAAAACAAAGTTGCGTTTCTTTTTCTTTGCTTTCCACTTGTTAAACTCATCGTATACAGGATCAGAATAAGACAACCCAGTAAACTTAATAGCATTTAATTAATATTACTTTTTCACAATGTCTCACTTTCAACTCTAAAATTATGTGGTAAAGAGGATTCATTTACGATTTAACTTTGTAGATTTGTAGGTTTTAGCCAGGCTCTCGAAAATGTATCGACGTTTCAAAATTCTTGTGGCCCTCAATTCGCACCATTTTGGATTTATATCCAAAATCCAGGCAAAGGCAATTCATCATTGTCAGAATACAAACCCACGAGGTATACTTAACCAATCGCTGACCATTCTGGTCCTAGCCTTTACATTTTGTAACAATTATCTGAACGCAGGACTGAATTTCCACAACCTTTGTTTTCTTTGGTCAGTTAAATATTTTTCGCTATGAAAATTAGATTTTTATAAATAAAAAGATACTTTTATTATTGGTTTGAGTCGCAGCCAACATTCTTTTAATATTTTATGTGTTTGTTTTAGAGATTTCTTTGTCACCTAGAAAAAACTTTCTGGAATTGGGACTGTGTTGGTACCCAATATTCCCCACTTTTCTCTTGATTATCTTGTGTTCATTTCGCACTAATGCCCTTGGGAAAGGCATGAATTCATCTTTTCTCCTAGCAGCTGTGGGCTGGTTAACAGAGCAGATTGGACTCTAGCCTTTGTCCAAAATCAGTCTAAGCAACTCTGAATTCAAAATAAGAGGGATAGCAAGTGGAAGACCACTTTCTTACCCCCACCCCCTAAACAATCATGTCAACGTATAGTTTCTAGATATTAAAGAAAAGGAAAATGGAAAGCTATGATCTATGTTGTGAAGTGATACAACATTTGATATGTTTAGTACATGTAAAATAATTAAACGTTAATGTGCATTCAGTTGAAATTAAAGTAAAAACCTCTGAAATCAGTGGAAGAATTTATGAAAATTTTGGTTGATGGCAGCAGTAGAATTATTAACATTTGTTTCTTTAAACAAATGTTAATAATTCTACTGCTGCCATCAACCATGATTAATCAGTAGTTTTGCAACAGGCAGTTGTTAAATATTAAGATATCTTCATAGAATTGATTTTAATAAAATAAAAAAAATAAAAAAGAATCTGCTTATTCTTTGTTAGTTAAATGAATAAAATGAATTTTCTATTCTTTACTTTAGATGAATGTAAAAGCTTATCGCAGGACCGATCCAAATCAATCTACAACTACCACAGTGAAAATAAAAATAATCAGTGGCAACAATCCTCCTGTATTCACGGACAGTTTCAAAAGAGTAACTATCTCCGATGATTTCTCCGTAGGTGGAGTAATTTTGACTGTCAAGGCTAATGATCAAGATCAGGTAAGTTTTTATTTTAGCCGCTGCTATCACTTTTTTCCTCATAAATCCATCAGTATCTCATAAATGTATTTACTTAAATTCCTCCTACAAATGGAGACAAAAGATATATAAATAAATACACATTGATAATTGTTTCATGATTAACTTTGAAATTCATTTAAAAAACACCACGAACATTGTCCCGATCCAAGATATTAACCATTTTTGTGAAAATGTTAGATTTAATGAAATTCTTCTATTCCCTTAAAATATTCTCTTTCTTTTTAAGGGTGAAAATGGAAGGATCACCTACAACATAATCTCTGTTAATCCAGCAATGCAAAAATCATATTTCTATGTGAATCCAGTCACCGGACAGCTCACTGTCATCAGTCTGCTTAGTAAAATAAAGAATGGACCAAAACAATACATCGTAAGTTAATCTAATTCGAGATTATTTCTTCATTTTCATCTTAGTCGTCCTAGTTGTAGCATGATGATGATGTATCTTGTAGAGCTGCGTCTAAATTATGGTCCTTAGGCCATATAGGAGAATTTTCATTTAATTGATAGCACTTTTCTTAGTATAGTGGATGTTCCTTGTAGGGCGATTTCCTGGGCAACTTTTATGTTGATGTTACCTGGGAGAGTTAATAAAATTGTCTATTCATTTTCTCACGGGGCCCAGTGCTCTGATTACTATTGGTACAGTCTCAGTCTTCATTCCCCATATCCTGTTAATTTTGATCTCCAGGTCTTTGTATTTGAACAATTTCTCGATAATTTTCATGGATGGGTTTTTCGTTGATGGTAATGTCAATAAGTATACACTTCCTGAATTCCTTGTCTTTTAGGATAATATTAGGTTTGTTGTCTTTTGTTTCCGTGTCAGTTTGAATTGGCATGTCCCACAGGATAGTTACATCGTTATTTTGGGTAACTATGTCTGATTGGTGGTCATACCATTTCTCAGTGGTTTCGATTTTGTGTTTCTTTTATATCATACAGTGCACATATGTCGCTACCTTGTTATGTCTCTGGGTATATTCATTTTTTTGCCAGCCCCGGACACCCTGAGATAATATGGTCGACAGTTTTATCATATTTTCCGCAGATCCTATTATTATTATTATTATTATGTCAAATATATAATGTTTTAATTTCTCCAACCATGTAAAATCGCTGATAGATGAAATACGAACGTTTTCGAACAAGTATTTGTTGTTTGACGGCATTGAGTAATGGCGTCATCAGTACTATGTCCGAGTTACGTATGAAGAAACCATGAGAAAGTGATTAAACACGTATTTTCTCAAAAAAATACGATAAAATGTCATAAAATTTTGTGAGTTTGCCAAATGAAACTTTTTCATCGTCACAACACAAGTGTGTACATTTAACAAACGACGCAGTAAGAAGCCTGAAATTTACACATCAGACGTCTGGTTGTTCCCGAGTTGTTGAAAGGTCAATTATTTGATGCTGAAATTGAACTGACTGAGTTTAAGGTAAATAGGTAAACAGGTAAAAGGTAAAACAGCAAACTTTCAGGAATAGAATGTTTAGAAAAAATTGTAACATTAAAATGCGAATATGATGAAAACTCGTAATTTTAAAGAGAAATAAATGTATTTCATTTTAACACTAGTTTCATCATTCTGTCTAATTGAAAACCTTTTTATAAGAGTAATTCCTTTTCAACTTTCCTAATATTGTGCCTGTATTTTCTTTCTTTTATCATATTAAAACAGAATATAATACAGTCAATTTCGTTATTGTCATACTGGAAAATTCAAATACGAAAAATCAGAAATTAGCCGTATTTCTTAATTTATGTTTTTACTTTAAATTTTAGTTGATCATTGAAGCTAAAGATAATGGCTATCCCCAAAATCAAGCAACGATGACTGTCACTGTGGACGTCATTGGGAATAGAAACGCTCCCATATTCACCCAAAACTCCTACACGTTTACGATTGATGAAACCGCTCGACTGAATTCGGCTGTTGGAAATGTGACTGCGACCGATGCTGATAAGGCAAGTTTTTGGTTGAACTCGACTTTTTTTCGTTTGTTTTCTTTTGTTTTGTCATCTTATATTGACGTAATACTAACTGGCGTATTTTTATAATCTTTGCGTCTTTTTTATTCTCTGGTTGAACCAACAAAAATTTCTGGTTAAGTGAAGTCCAGACATACAAATCCCTATCTCCCACTTCTGTTCGTAAACAATTTGCTTTTACCTCTGCTCCAAATAAATAGTAGGAGGTGGCTCTAATGTAGTAGCGAGAATATGCAACACCGGTTCTCGTTGGATCATTTAATTTAAGCATCGTCGTGCCCGGTAAGTATTTAGATGAGAGAACATTGGGTAGAGTAAGCGATCTCCCATGATCTGAAATATGTTTCAGCTTTAAATAACTCACATAAGATTGATGAACCATAAAAATCAAATGAATCAATATTGATAACTGTTTGTTAGGATCGCTGACGTTGTAGGGAAGTTGAAGATGAGTAAATATTTATAAACTCTCTTACCTTTATATATGTAAAAATACTCGTAAAAATGAGAAACGCCAACATATGGAAACAACAAAACGAGTATTATTTGGTTGGAGACACGAGAGACAATAATACTGAGTAAATTGTGAGTTTGGGATCAAATGTAGATCAAATATGAATCGGAATCCGACAGAATAAGATAAAAAAATAAGTAAAGTGTATACAATCCTTCTCGTATGATTTTTATAAATGTGCGTCATGAGTGTCCAGATAATTTAGTTTAAAAGAAGTGTATGGGGTTTTCTTACCTCGAGTTTTTGTTGAGTGCTGAGAGATAAATATTACTGTTATGGCTGGAAAAAGGAAAAGGAGCCGACATTTTCGTTGACGCACGTGTTGACGGCCTGTCCGATAGTGAGAATGTCACATGTTTGTGTGTGCGCCTGACGGAGAAATGTGGGATCGATTCTCATTGGCTTAGAAAGATTAAATAACATTCATTTTTTTTTATAAACAATTTTTTTTTATATCCTTTGCCAGCCACAATAATTAAGAGTAAATTAATGATAATTATAATTGTTATAATTATTTTATTATAATTAATTTTTGTGTACACGACAAAGTGGCAGTATAATTACTTTCTTATGGACACGACAACGTTTTAAAAACGACTGAATGAATAAACATTAAAAAGTCGAAGTCAAAAGCTTTCATGTCCCTCATACAAAGTTTTCAGGCAACACTAATATGCTTAGACTTTTACAAAATTTAAATATATAGTGAATTTTTAAGCTTTTCATAATTAAAGAACCAATAAAAATGAATACGCGAAGGTAGTCATACAATCAGTTTTCCATCACTTGATATGTTTACATTTATAAATAGATTAGAATTTTAATTGCTGGTTTTGTCTATAAAATTTTCAATAATTTTACAAATTAAATTCTAAAGTTATGTTTGCATATTTCTAGCAAAATGTTGAAATGTGTGAGGGGTTATTTCAGTTGGCAAGCAAACAAAGAGATGCAACTTTTTTTTACACTTTTCTTCCAAAGATTGGACTTAAAAGTAGAAAGATATTTATCATTTTAAAAGGGGTCATAGAAGTCGATCATCTTTTAAGCTGCGTGTTGCGTTTAAAAGCTGATTTCTTAATGCATATTTTATAAATTTGTTCATTATAGCAGCTGTATAAAAATTAAGTCGATAGCACGAGTGTACATTTAACTGATGTTGAATTGCTATAAATCATTAGACAAAAGACTATACGGGAATTCTGAATAAAAGATACGAGAACTGAACGTAATATAGATATATTTGGCACTACATATCATCAGCAGTACCCTAACATCCGGTATACTTTGAAAACGGTGAAAACAATATTTCCATAGCCAGATTTTCCAAGCATTCGTCGCACCTTTTTATAGTGTAAATATATGATCCACTTCCACCTCCTAAAGAAATGAGTTAATAAATGAAAAAAAACAAAACTTGTATTTATCTTTAGAGTGAGGAAATTATCACACAAATTAATAAGTTCCATGTTATTGGTATTTATCAATTCTATAAAGAAGGTACTGAATTTATGATCATTGAACGAAATACAAGAATTATTCATGTCTAGTTTTCAACCAAAAATGAAAGCATTGCTCGAAATGTTTGTCTGAATAAGCTTTTATTAGGATTTTATTTCACATAATTTCTCCAAGTTTTGTTTTTTTTTTTATATATAAATTTGAATCTCGGTAGTGTTTCTGTTCAATAGGCTGTAGAATCTAATTTCTACATTTCAGTGGATAATACCTAATTTTCCATAATGCCGTCATTAAACAACGTCCTGATTATGAAAATTGTATTTTGTTTATCTTCACATGCAAAGTTGTAAAATCTTACACAGCTAAACACATATAGGCTCCAAACCAAGTTTTTAGCAACTGACATTTTCTGATTGGTCCAATAATGCCAAGGTTCCGTCTACGCACAAATTGTTCAAACCAAAAAAACCGTCAAAAAATGAAAACGTGTTCTCGAGGTTATCACGTGATTAAAAAGTAAATAAATATGATATTCACACTCGTGAATCGCCTCCTGAATTCACGTCACACAATTTTCAGGTTTTTTAGTTACCAGCAAGCATTCGCCTAGAACATAATCCCAACCTGCAGAAAGAACACTCACTCACTAACTGACCAGCAAGCATTCGCCTAGTGAATTCACAGCGATCATCATACGTTTTTTTTACTAGTAAGAAACTGACCAGCAAGCATTCGCCTAGTGAATTCACGTCACACAATTTTCAGGTTTAAAGTTACTTCTGAACATAATCCCAACCTGCAGAAAGAACACTCACTCACTAACTCACACAGCGATCATCATACGTTTTTACTAGTAAGAAACTGACCAGCAAGCATTCGCCTAGTGAATTCACGTCACACAATTTTCAGGTTTAAAGTTACTTCTGAACATAATCCCAACCTGCAGAAAGAACACTCACTCACTAACTCACACAGCGATCATCATACGTTTTTACTAGTAAGAAACTGACCAGCAAGCATTCGCCTAGTGAATTCACGCCTTTTCAGGTTTAAAGAATTCCCAACGTCACACAATTTTTTTTAGGTTTAAATTTACACAATTTTCAGGTTTTTACATAATCCCAACCTGCAGAAAGAACACTCACTCACTAACTCACACAGCGATCATCATACGTTTTTACTAGTAAGAAACTGACCAGCAAGCATTCGCCTAGTGAATTCACGTCACACAATTTTCAGGTTTAAAGTTACTTCTGAACATAATCCCAACCTGCAGAAAGAACACTCACTCACTAACTCACACAGCGATCATCATACGTTTTTACTAGTAAGAAACTGACCAGCAAGCATTCGCCTAGTGAATTCACGTCACACAATTTTCAGGTTTAAAGTTACTTCTGAACATAATCCCAACCTGCAGAAAGAACAGAAAACTCACACAGCGATCATCATACGAACCACTCACGTCACTTTTCAACTCAACATAATCCCAACCTGCGAAAGAACACTCATCAACTCACGTTTTTTTACTAGTAAGAAACTGACCAGCAAGCATTCGCCTAGTGAATTCACGTCACACAATTTTCAGGTTTTAAGTTACTTCTGAACATAATCCCAACCTGCAGAAAGAACACTCACTCACTAACTCACACAGCGATCATCATACGTTTTTACTAGTAAGAAACTGACCAGCAAGCATTCGCCTAGTGAATTCACGTCACACAATTTTCAGGTTTAAAGTTACTTCTGAACATAATCCCAACCTGCAGAAAGAACACTCACTCACTAACTCACACAGCGATCATCATACGTTTTTACTAGTAAGAAACTGACCAGCAAGCATTCGCCTAGTGAATTCACGTCACACAATTTTCAGTTTTAATTCTTCGTAATCCCAACCTGCAGAAAGAACACAATTTTCAGGTTTAAAGTAAGAAACTGACCAGCAAGCATTCGAAATTCATAATCCCAACCTTCAGGTTTAAAGAACCCACCTGCACTCACTAACTCACACAGCGATCATCATACGTTTTTACTAGTAAGAAACTGACCAGCAAGCATTCGCCTAGTGAATTCACGTCACACAATTTTCAGGTTTAAAGTTACTTCTGAACATAATCCCAACCTGCAGAAAGAACACTCACTCACTAACTCACACAGCGATCATCATACGTTTTACTAGTAAGAAACACTGACCAGCAAGCATTCGCCCTAGTGAATTCACGTCACACAATTTTCAGGTTTTAAGTTACTTCTGAACATAATCCCAACCTGCAGAAAGAACACTCACTCACTAACTCACACAGCGATCATCATACGTTTTACTAGTAAGAAACTGACCAGCAAGCATTCGCCTAGTGAATTCACGTCACACAATTTTCAGGTTTAAAGTTACTTCTGAACATAATCCCAACCTGCAGAAAGAACACTCACTCACTAACTCACACAGCGATCATCATACGTTTTTACTAGTAAGAAACTGACCAGCAAGCATTCGCCTAGTGAATTCACGTCACACAATTTTCAGGTTTTAAGTTACTTCTGAACATAATCCCAACCTGCAGAAAGAACACTCACCACTAACTCACACAGCGATCATCATACGTTTTACTAGTAAGAAACTGACCAGCAAGCATTCGCCTAGTGAATTCACGTCACACAATTTTCAGGTTTAAAGTTACTTCTGAACATAATCCCAACCTGCAGAAAGAACACTCACTAACTCACACACTCACACAGCGATCATCATACGTTTTTTAGGTAAGAAACTGACCAGCAAGCATTCGCCTAGTGAATTCACGTCACACAATTTTCAGGTTTTAAGTTACTTCTGAACATATTTCCAGCCAGAAAATAAAACACTCACTCACTAACTCGAACAGCGACCATTATTCATTCTCGCCAGTGAGTTCATTGAAACTTTATCAATATCAACACTTGATAACGGAACTAAATTACAATATTTAAAGTTCACACCAACATCGTCTTTAAAACAAAGGATTACGATCCAAGGGAGACAACTTTTGAATGAACTGTGAATTGGAAACTAATTTACACTTAAAATTCAGCTCTCAAGAAACTGTTTAATTTTTACATACACTTAGAAATATTCTCTCAAATTGCTAAAATTTTAATCCAACAATTTATTCAACACACGTTCTTTCCACAAGACTTTAATTACTATTTCAAACAAACTAGGAAAGGACGTTGAACTGAATTTAAACTTCTATGTAACAAAAAAAAATAGTTGTACACAAATTTAAATACAACAATAATTTCAATACAAAACATCAATTTGTACCACTTTTGTCAGTGATAAAAGAAAAATCTATTTTTGATATTGCTTTGATTTGTTGAATTTATTTCTCTTGATGTTTGTTGAAAGTAAAAATAGTAGATTAAATTGAGGCTGTTCGATCGCCTGCAACGCCAATTAATAAAGAATCAGAAAAATCAAAAATCAGATACGTTTCAACAAAATTATTCCTTTGGGATTGTATATCTGACATTAATTTTTTTTTTTCTTCTTAACTTCAGGACGAAGTTTTTTACAGTATCCCGATTCGAAACACTGAGGCTCGATATTTCAGTATTAATAATATTACTGGTCACATCGTAGTGGCCGGTGACATTGTTTCCGATACAAGAGACCAATATACGGTAAGTTGTTCACTTATGTTCTCTCATTCGACCAGACTTTGCATTTTATTTCGCCAGCATCTTAAAGCTAACATCACTAACTCCCGCCAACAGTTACTTTATAAATACAGAAAAAATGACTTCCTTTCTAAAAAAATATTGTTCAACACATGTATATTTCTATACAAATGATCAATTTGACTTGTACCTACTGAAGCTAAGATCTTTAATAATATATAAATACGTACTGTAATGTTGTAGTTAATGAGTTGAGAATGCAAATATTAAAATAAATGCTAAGATTTTGAACAGGAATATACCGTACATACTCGCATATCATGCGACTTTTGAAGATCTAATTTTGAAGCTAATTTTAAGGGGGTCGCATTATACACGTGAATTAAATTTAGCGTATGTACTGCTGGCCATGGCTACGCTGTTGATCAAACTATATATCCATTTACAGTAGTCAAATTAGCTTCAAAACAAGGTCTTCAAATGTCTGCTGATACGGTATTTTTATAATGCATGCTCGTCAAAATGGCATGTGCTTTAGTACAATTAACCCGATTTTGATGTAGGGTTTGAGCGGGGCCTCACCAGTGAAATAGCTTAGGGCTTCTCTTCATCTAAATCAGGCTTGTGTGTGTGTGTGTGTGTGTGTGTGTGTGTGTGTGTGTGTTGTTTTTAGGGGGCTTTTCTATTTACAAAAAAATGGAGCCATTTAATTTTATCACTTACAAAAACCTTATTCCATTTGTGTTTAAATGTGCAATGTACATCTCACTCCAGATTATACCATAATAGACTTTGCACTTAATGTGCCGGGTTGACCTGAAGTGATCTCCCAGCAGATGTGCAGATTTACGTGATAGGACCAGCTGCACCTGGGTCGCAAGCGTGAAAAAGAGCTGCATAACACGCACACATATATATTACTTACCCCAGTGATAAGAGCAAACTCTTTCTCAGACATCGCAGACGAGACTATAAAGTCCATGTCTGAAATGAGAGACCCGGGCCTGTGCATACATACTAACCTAGAATAATTGACAAAATCAGGAGTTGAAGAAAATATGTTAAATAAGAGATTAAGTTTCGTGTTTTCGTAATACAGCGATACGATCGTATTATTATAAATGTTCACTTACATCAGATTTATTCCCTTATCTTTGTTTCCAAATCAAACTAATATTGTTTTTAATATTCAGTTCAAAGTTATTGCTGCCGACAATTCTACATCCCCGAGAAAGTCAGAAGTGACAGTATACGTGAATGTTCTTCGAAATCTGAACCCACCTGTGTTTGTTCAGAAAGTATACAATGCAACAATATCGGAATACGCCGCCATACAAACATCTGTTATACAAGTTCGTGCAACTGATCAAGATGCTATCCGAAACCCTTTGGTAAGTATATTAATGTCTAAGCTCTTTTTCTTAACTTTTTGAAAATGAATACTTGTAACTGGTTTTGTAAAAGTTGCATATTCAACATTTAAATAAAATGTGAGTCTGGGTTGAGAGCGTTAAAAATCAGGTCAAAATTACTTCATTTTCCTTTTTTCATTACAAATATTCTTCCTTTTTTATTATTTTGTATGCTATTTCTTGCCCTCTCTCTCTCTCTCTCTCTCTCTCTCTCTCTCACATTCTTCTTCTCTATCTTTGACTTCGTCTCTGACTCTCAATCTCGTACATTCTCTGGTCGTCTCTTCAGTTTTTTTCTAGTCAAGTTTTCTCTTTTACCTTTCTTCTCTTTCTCTTTCTCTGTCTCTCTCTCTGTCTCTCTCATTAATCCTCTTTGTAATTTCTTCTTTTTTACCCCTCATTCTTTACCTTCTTATTTACCATTGTCTTCCTCATCCCATTATCTTTTAATTTTTTTCAGAGTCAAAGTGGGAAACTCGTCTACTCCATAGTTCCATCAAGTGAATACTTTTTTATCAGTCAAAACCAAGGAAATATCTATGTAAAGAATTTTCTGACAACTGATAAGATTGGCAACACTGTTTCTGTAAGTAAATTCATCACTTTACACTAAAAGTAAGCAAATATTATATTCTCTCAAATATATGTTCAAAATTATGGCAAATATTTTTATCGCTTAACTCAATCAAGGGAATAAAGACACTAAGTCGTAAAGATGTTATTGAGTGTAATAAAATATGAAGAAAAAAAGTACTATTAAGGAGAGAAAACAAAAGAACGGGTATTAAAAAGACAGACGATAATGATTGACATTGCATTTAAATTTTTGAAGATCAAAGTTGACTGGAAAGCAAGAAACCGGAAGAGTGTTCCTTTACATCAATTATTCGTACGAACGTATAATGTCAAAGTTAACAAGGATGCCAGAAGAGAGTTCCACAAGCAATAAATGCGAGAGAAGAAACTGTTAGCATAAAAATTGCGGTTATATAAAGTGTGTGTTCTTTGATAAAACCTATCTTTCTTGATGTTCATCTTGTTGTTCATTATTAAAACATTTGTTAATATAAATTATTAGTAACTGATATTTTTAGAAAATATTTCTTCAAAAAAAATCACTGTCGTCGATAATCGTTATATTTATTGTTTGTTTTCATTTTACCAATAAGTAAAAGAAAATAATCAGCTTATTAGAGGATAAAAACTGCCTATCTACAATGCTGCAACACTTAATGTCATTTGTCACTGATATTAAACTATGATTTACGTATGATTACAAAGCCAAACCAAAATGTTTTCTATTCTTTTTAGTTGACTGTTCGTGCCATTGACCAATCTTCTCAACCGAAAACTGCTACTGCTAGCGTCTTCATTACAATTACCCGTAACCAATTCGCACCAGAAATCAGTCCTAAATTACTGACTGCAGATATTGAGACTACTTACCCTTTGATGACCCAAATTGTCCAGTTTACAGTCAGCGATAAAGACAGAATTGTCAATGGAAATGTAAGTAGCCGACTTTTCACTCCATTTTAGAGGGCGTTTGATTCAGAAATATACAGTTCTATATTTTAGTTATCCCAGTAAACCAGTGTGATCTTCAGGTGTATTTGCTATCGAAAGGGTTACCTTTAGTGCGTAATTGGTTAAATTTACAAGAAAAGGTTACAAGAATTTTTTATGCAAAGATATTTTAATTCAAAAATTTTTTCACAGAATCCATTCTGTACATCCTTTAGGATTATATCGTGTGTACCTGTCTGTATCTTTTTATCAAAATTTATCGGTTAACACCCCCTCCCCGATCATATTTTTTATTGTTTACTTATACTTTTTACAATGGTGGAACTAAGGAATGTAGTTCATCTGAACACTTTTCATGGAAATAGCGATAGAAAATCAGTTGTAGAGTGGAAAATAATTCGTCACTTCAAGGACGCTATTTTTTGGATTCTATCGAGAGTGAAAAAGCGAAGACTGGGCAGCTATTATCCATATCTGGCAACAGTACTCCATTCTGAGGGAACAGCCGTTCATCGCAATTGGGGAAAGTTATGGGTTCGATCAGAGGATGATGGGGGTCACTAGCTTGTTTTTGCAGGGTGCATCCATATACCGTTGAATCATCAACATAGAGTGTTTTGTAATTTAGCAGTGGTCGCAGCCAAATTCTGGAATCGGTTTGTGCTGACGAAACCTATCCCTCCCTTCATCGTCAATTATGCCAACTAATCGGATAAACTTTATTTATAAAATATTCCTTGCCATCATGTATGAATTAAAAAGCATTGTATTCAGAAGTGGTGATACTGCCAAGTATACTCAGAGGTGCCTTAATAAAAGGGGAGCCGGAAACTCATTTAAAGAACCAAAAGTGCGAAATTAACGTAGTGGCCCTAATAAGCTCGGGGATGGAAATCTGAAAACTACTTTTTAAAAAATAAAATAAACGCCTCTCTGCTAAGTAATTATCTCGGATTTATCTCGGATTTATCTCGGATTTATCTCGGATTTATCTCGGATTTATCTCGGATTTATCTCTGTAAAACTCTCACTAAAAATAATAAATACCGTAAATTATGGTGGATAAATCGACCTGAAGATTTTTAGCTCAAAATTTTGAGTTAGGCCTATCGTTCGTATACGGTAGGTTTACCAGTATCCCAAAGCTGTAACCCCAAAACATTTTTAGTCTTGAAAACTCGACCCAAAAAGATGTTTCAGGCTTCAAAACACGACTTGTACGCCACAACTTATGTTTTTTTTATTGGCAAATAAATAAAAATAATTTATGCAATAGTTATTCGATTATCCGAATATCTTGGGACATGAGTTGAAAATGTTTGGATAATTCAGAATTCCGGATAACTGAATACCCAAATTATCAAAAAAAATGAAGAGAAAGTCATTTTTGAAAGAAATTTAACATATTGAATATTTCCAAACGCTTTGTTCAATGTTTTTTGCCAGTCTATTTTCGATGAAAAAACAAGGCATCGTTTTTTGTCTTTTTCTGACTTGAAGATTTAGCGACAAAAAACATCGATTAAAATAGATATATGATGTTGAGACGTTCATCCAGCTGATCCGTTCGATCTCAACTGCTGACCGTTGAATGGATCACATTGAGCCAAGCCTTGCCTTGTCCTACGTTGTGTTTGATTTAGATCACAAGCTGGCGAGGATCAAACTGGCGACAGGAATCGTTGAATTAATTTGGACCAGATAAAGTGAAGCCACAAGTCATAGGATACCGTTTCTTGTACAGAACTTGTGGTACAATATCAGTTTTTCATGTAGGAATATATGTTTTTCATGTAGGAATATATTTGTCATGTAAATTTATCCGACCTTTCTCGTCTTCGAATATTTCGTGACACTTTGTTCGTCGTGACAAGTTTTCTGGAACACATCGCAAAATCGGAGGTCTTCTTCAGCGGCAGGAACTCACGCGAGTTCGGTGAGGCGGTTGTCTCTCGCCTTGTGTTTGGCGCTTTCTCTCTCTCTCTCTCTCTCTCTCTCTCTCTCTCTCTCTCTCTCTGGTTGTCGCTTCGATCTTCTGTTTATATGGACCTTCGTTCAAAACTGGCATGTAGTCTGACGTGGTTTGGGATTTCGGGGATTCTCCTAACTTCTACATAGTTTTCTTTGTTTAACTCAGGGAAATTAATCGCATGTCCAATTTTGGAGAGGCTCCTCCTCCGTGGGGCAATGGTAGAAGAATATCGATCCACCCTAACTCCTTGCTTCCTTGAATTTGTGCCTCATACCAATATTGCTGAAGGGATGTAGGCAATTCCTTCGCCTCCCTTGCTGTTCTAACTAGGCCTTTCACTTCAGTTGTCACTTTGACCAATCCGATCTCTAGACTGCATTATTAATTTTAATTAACATCCAAAATTTTCATCAACGGAATTCCTTGACCCCTTTCAGCTTCCTAATTGGACACTCACCAGCCGCTTCCTTGACAGCCTCCTCTTGTGGCATTTCGGCTCTTAACTAAAAAAATTTCACCGCTCCAGCGATTTACACATTTTTTTTTTTTTTTTTTTTTTTTGGATAAGTAATGAAAAGAAATCAATTCTCCAACTTATCATTTGCTGGCAAAAAAATAAAAACTAAATATCACCTTTCGTTCGACTTTCCTTATCGGGTTTTGTTTATTTTAAGCATAATAGTGTCTCCATTTCGGCTTTTACACCGCCCCTCTCCATCCGCGGTGGGTTTAAATTACTCAGATGCTCTTTTCGACTAGAGTCCCCAAAATAATAATAAAGCCATTTCACTTCCAGCCAGCCCACACTCTTGACTTGATCACCGGAGGTCGTCATATCTCTATTCTTCGGTGGACGTATTGACTACACAGTATTTATCAGACTCATTTCATAGTTAGTTGTCAACTTCAATCATGTTTTTTTTGTTAAAAAAATCAAATGTTTCTGTCTTGTCTTTACCTAAGGAAAAAGAATAAAACAAACCCTCTGAATTTAATAAAATCTGATTTCGACTCTCGGTATCGAGCTATCTATCAACCCTTAAGTGTCACATCTCTCACGGTATAACCATCGAGCTATCTTTTCGACCTTTAAAGTGTCACAGGTATAATTAAGTGTAGCTTCTGGTTGAAAGCACTACTGACTGAAACATTTGATCAAATATAATCATTGTTTCAGTGTTTGGACATTGGTTCTGTTGATCATAGACAATATCATCTACCTCTTTCTCTTCAACATTTCCCGGTGCAGTATACTCCGATTACTGACAATTTAGTAACAGCGAATTAGTAAATTATCACAGCTTGGTCTCTGGCGTGACCAAGCTGTGACCAAGCATTTTCTTCGTATGAAAAAAAATGAGGAAATTAACAAGAATTAAGTGAGATGACTTTATCAGTGTTTTATGTGATGTTCTAAGCGTAATTTTGATGTGGCAAAAGGTCAAAAGTATGGGGTACCCACTAAAGATCGAACTCACTACTCAGTTGTAATTGATTTAACAAGAATAAGCTTGCTGATCATTACAGCACATCAAAATGCCCAGCAAATGTCGAGTATGGTTTTCTAAATTCTCAAAACGCTTGTCTGAGATGAAATATTCGAATGTGTTTAGTTTGGACAAATGCTTGATTTTAGCTTAGTTGGAAACATGTCCACAAGTATGGTATGGAAACCTAGTTAGGATCGAACTCGTTGGTAATTGTTAACCAAATGAGTTCGCTAACCATTAACTAGGAACTTGGCTGAATATTCTGTTGACACATTTTGGATATACGACGACTACAAAATTTAACAAACAAGATATAAAATATTTCCATTTTTTAATGAGTTACGTATTCCTCGTAAATATTTTGTTTCTTTCATTATTTTGTTTGTCTTTTGTTATTAGTTTCACGATGTTTTATAAATGTTCTCCGATTCTTTTGTCTTCAGAACCCGAACGGAGAAATTAAGATCAGCATACCCGCCCAATACCAAAATATAAGGTCAATTTTCGAGGTGTCCAATGTTGGTGTGGTTTATCTAAAGCAATCTCTAATGAATACCAATAGTGCTGTATATAAAGTAAGTATAAAAACAAAAGGAATGAGTGAACGTTGTTTTTCCTCTGGAATAAGTAAAATAGATATTTGGAATTATGAGTAATTTAATTTGATTATGGCAGACACAAGGGCATTCAAAATCAGAAAAGCCCAAAGAAGTATTAGCCTCAACTTAAATATTGACTTCTCGTGATACACGTCTCTGGCATGATTCAAATTTCGTGGAAATTCTTTAAGGGTAGTATGACTATCTACACACGTGAACTTGGAATTAATTTTTTTTTCTTTATTATAAAGGTTTTATAAAAATACGTTAAAATAGTTTTGTCTCAATTTTGACTCCGAAAGCAAATATATATTTCAGGCGTATTTTTAATTAATAAATAATTATTAATGATTGGAATAATTTGGTATCAATACTTCCTTGAAATCCGGGATAATGAAGGGCTTAATTCGACAGCTTTTATTATGCCCTTATTAATTAAATGACATAACAATTGTTAATTACTTATTAATTTAAACAGGAATTATAAGTTTTTATTAAAACTTTTCTCTAGTAACGTCCTGAATCATAACGCATTATGGTTGGAGGTGAACAACGTGTGCTACAGCCATAGCAACTGTGATGTGTCTAGGAACAGAAAGAAAGTCTGATGAAGCCAATCTCTCGTAGAAAAAAGCGTTACATGAACCTGTTTGGAATTCACAGAAACAGTGATCTTAATATTTTTCACTAATGGAATTGTCAATCTCTGCAATTTAAGTCGTGTATAGAATCTCAAGAATCAACTATAGCTATGTTAAATGAAAATTCACTAAAAACCCTAGACAGTATCATAATGTGTTTTTTAGATACAAATCAGTTAGCTCTTAATTGCTGTTCCCAGGTCGACGCTAAACTTTGAACACAATTAACATTGTTCGGTCACTCAAATCTGTGTGTGTGTATATATATATATATATATATATATATATATATATATATATATATATATATATATATATATATTACGATAAACGTGCAATCAATTTACAAATTCATGAATTATTCACACAAAAACAAAAGCAAAGGTTAATGATTTAATTGGCGAGAAATCCATCATCGCAAACAATTCAAATAACAAGACGAAAGCTTGTAGTAAAAATTAGAACTAATACGGCAGAAATTTATGGAAACAAGGATCAATTCATTCATAACGGATTCGGAGGTTCTTGTATATTATTTGAATTGTTTGTGATGATGGATTTCTCGCCAATTAAATCATTAACCTTTGCTTTTGTTTTTGTGTGAATAATTCATGAATTTGTAAATTGATTGCACGTTTATCGTAATTTAAATAACTGATCCAAGTGCGACTTTTGGATAATAAGTGCGACATTACTGTAATTATTGAACAATATAGTTCATGCCACTTTGACAGAAAATTTACCAGTAAAAATTCGTTCATCACCATATTTATATGAACGCACAACCTTTAAAAATTTAAAATCAAACTCAGCGTTGCTACTGGCGCGCTCCAAAAACAATAACTCATTTTCAATAGCATTTTCGGATACAACAATACATATATTTTCGTTGTCCTCTTATTACTAAGAGAAAAAACAAGAACAATATCTATTCTATACCTGAAGATGTCTGTAGGAACAGACGAAAGCTTGTAGTAAAAATAAGAACTAATACGGCAGAAATTTATGGAAACAAGGATCAATTCATTCATAACGGATTCGGAGGTTTTTGTATATGATTTGAATTGTTTGCGATGATGGATTTCTCGCCAATTAAATCATTAACCTTTGCTTTTGTTTTTGTGTGAATAATTCATGAATATATATATATATATATATATATATTATACACTTTGTTAATAATTTGAAAAAGATTCATTAACTTACATAATAATTTTTTGATAAATTAACTTCTTGCTACTGTTAAAACAACATATTTGTAAGCCTCCAACTACAAATAAAATGTATTACTGGTCATGCATTGTCGGTTTTTTATTATATAAACATATACTGCTGGTATTTTTACTGCTAAAATGTATTTTTATACTTTCATTGTTTTTTTGGGGGGGTTGAGAGGGGGCTTACTATTTGCCCATAGCTGGGACCCTGACAAGTGCTACCACCCCGGATTAGCGTGGACCTGGGAACAGCAATTAAGAGCTGACTGATTTGTATCTAAAAACACACCAGGATGCTGTCTAACGTCTTTAGTTAATTTTCATTTAACATTTGTCTTCTCGCGGATAAGCTCAAAGTTAGATATCACTGAATTTCAACTCGGAATTCGAATGGACGCCTTTAAGCAAAAGGTGTGTGTGTGTGTGTGTGTGTGTGTTAAAGTGGATTTGTTCTGATTGAAGATTTTCGTAAATGTTTATGTGTGTGTTTCTTTCTTTCTTTGTTTTCAGGAAGCAACTGAAACAACCAATGATAAAACTCAATCGAAACATTAAAACTTAATTTCTTTATTTTGTTTCAGTTTGTGGTAGTTGCTTCAGACAACAGCTGGAAACCTAAGACCGCTGAAGCCAATGTTGTCATTAATGTCACACGTGTAGAGGTACAAAGCGGAGAGTTGAAATTCGGTCAGCCCTTCTATGCGTAAGCACTTTGTTGGTATTTCAATTCATAACGTTGGCTGATCAAGACGAAGTCCTACACGATTCTATCCCTATTTCTAGCTAAAACTTTGAACACAATTATTAACATTGTCCGGTCACTCAAATCTCTTTGTGTGTTTATATATATATATATATATATATATATATATATATATATATATATATACACACTAATAAGTTTAAAAAGATTCATTAACCTACACAATGTTTTTTTTGACAATTTAACCTTTTCTTGCTACTGTTTAAGACAATACCACAATTTAACCATACTCCAGTTCTCTTCACGTGTATTCCGTGGGCTTTTTTTTTTATTCCCCTCTTCTAGGAGGATGAGGCTTCTTTTTAATCAAGGCATACACCAGACGAGAACTAAAAGTGATCCCTTCAAACATTATTTTAACAACACCGAATAGACAAACAGGTTCAATTGTCTGAATATTATTGCCTATTACGAGCATTTAAAATTCTGTAATGCAATAACAGCACATTTTTAATGTATTTTTTATCCCCAAATATTTGTTTTCAAGCCGAGTTTTGATATCATTTGATACCGTAAAAGCCTTTCCTTTTCACATTTAACTTTGTATAAATTTTACTTTAAAATTTGAACAAACTGTTTTGCATTTTATTATACATTGTATAATATTAAAGTCTTTCTTTCATTTTTGAGATTTATCGAACCTAATGTAAATTGCACAATCCCAGTTGTAAGGGACGAGTAAAAAATATATTTCCGTTCTCTTTTTTAGTGTCGATTTAAAAGAGAACACACCAATTGGTAAAGTAATTTTGAACATGAAAGTGACCAACATCGTTATGGCTACAAGAATAGTTTGCAAGCTGGTGGACAACTACGGTAAATCATTTTCAATTACTTATAACTATTTTGTTAGTTGTTTATTTAATATAGTTAAGCTTTTTCTTTCGTGAAGAGATTAAATAACTAATATTTCAGTGAAAGTGTTAATAATTGCGATATTTTCCTCCATGGTCCAATGGCGTTGAATCATTGTTCAAGATTATATTAAGCGATTGTTGATTCTAATAATAGGACTTGATACTGAAAATTTCTTGTTCACATAGTCAAGACACCCTCTTCAAATGATTTCCGGGCATTTATCAAATTATTTTTCATAATGCATTAAAGAAAAAATATTATGACTCGTGATAGTTGCAGAATTCAATTCGACTTCTCAATCAATTTAGTTTTTGTCACTGAAAAAGTGTTGTCTGTTCGTTCGGAAGGTCCTGTAAAAGGCATGACTTGTTCAAAAAGAGGCTGGTTGGTTGAATTTGTTTAGCAGCATATCAGCCAGTGTGGGTTATTTAATTCCAAAATCGAAATAATTTGAGCCCAATTTTTATGGCTTCAACTAAATAATATATTATGAACATATTTGTAAGCCTTCAATACAAATAAAATGTATTGCTGGTCATATATATATACTGCTGGTATTTTTACTGTTAAAATGTATTTTTATATTTTCATTATGTTCTTTTTGGGGTGGGGGGGTCTCACTATTTGCCCATAGCTGGGACCCTGACAAGTGCTATCACTCCGGATTAGCGTGGACCTGGGAACAGCAATTAAGTGTTGGTTCCACACTCCTCAAAACCTCAAACTTTCTGATCAGAGACCTTTCTGCTGGATGTAGTCTATCGTCATACACAGGATTTCAAATAGAGACAGCAAATACTGTATGAAAAACCATAACAAAATTTTATATATATATATATATATATATATATTAGTTATTTTAAAATGGGGACTGCTATTGAAAATAACATTCATCAGAATTGTAGTTTACACTTTAAACGTTTTTTTATAATTTACTGCAGAAAGAGTTTTTTTTTTTTTTTGGGTGGTCACTGAAAAAACATTTTTAAGAGTTCACTGTAAAGAGAATAAATATTTATTTTCTGGTGATCATTGTAAAGTAAAATAAGTTCAATAGATACCGTAAGGGTTTTAAAACTGGTATACATATGTTTATCCAGTTGGAAAAAATACGAAAGAGACCTGGTTAGCCGTTGAAATATTTTTCTTCCTCCAAGACGAAATGCTCTGTGTTCTTTATTGGTCCAGACCAGCTCGCAGAAGCGAATTTTCATTTTAGATACGAAGTCTTCTAATTGGCTTAAATATTTTTATTTTTTCTTATGCATGATCAGCCTAGCTGACAAAAATTATTCTACAAATCGCTGGTCGTATCCATCGTCCTCTGCGGACACTCCTGGTTGAGGCAGGAAATTGATCTAGGCGTTCGAGAACAAATGCTTGAGAAAACTCCTCCGCGTCTCCTACTGGGAGCACAAAACCAATGTCTGTGTACGGAGCAAGGTCAAAAGTCTCGTGGAGTGACAGGAATCTCTCCTCGCCACTTAAGCGTTGGAAGATGACAAGGTTTGGTCACGTTACACGGTATAACAGCCTCTGCAAGACAATCATGCAAGGCACTGTTGCATGGTCGGTAACGCAAGAACTGGTCAAACATCAGAGTGGACGGACATGGCAATGCTGGGACTCCTCAGTCACCGCCAGCAGATCATCCTGGAGTAGGTTATCTGTTTCTTCTGTCCTTAGATCTTCTCCACGCTGATTGAACCAGTCAAGAGACTGATGATGAGTGTATTCCAATCCCGAAAGCGTTACCTTCCAGTCAAGTGTGTCGGTTCAATGGACTGAACAATGGTGGCCATGTAATTCCCTATTTTCGTTTATAGATTATTACAAGTGATTATGTATTAATATTTTATATTCTTTACTTGGAATAAACTGAAAATATTTGTATTTAATTAATAACGATCCAAAACTGTACTTCTGCATGTTATGTTTTAAGTAATGGTATTTATTGAAAACTCGACATTTTTTTCCCCTTTCAGTCCCCGCCAACAATTTCGATTTAACAATTTTTTTTTATATTCCAGGTAAATTTTCCATCGTGTACAACCTGCAAACAAGTTCTTGTCAACTGAAAATACTCAATGAAATCGACTACGAAACGGACAGTCGCACCTACGATTTGGAGATAGACGTGACCTATTCTAAAGACACTAAAAGAGCAGGTAAGGCTTCCCGGTCGAATTGTCGACATTAGTGGTGTCAGTGATAAAATCTGAATTTCCAAACCCGCTATTACGAACATTTGGATATAAATATGAATGTACGTTTTTCACATTACACTTGGATATAAATATGAATGTACGTTTTTCACATTACATTTGAACTTAATTTTTTAATTAAAATATAAATTCATCTGATTGATAGCAGTAATAAATAAAACTGTGACTAAATCTGGATGTATACATCTTGATATATACTCAAAGTTAATATACCTAAATCTTATAGACACAAGCCTGACTTAGTTATTGGCTGAATTTTGTATAAAAATTTCACTGTAGACTATAAAGTGTAAATAATGAAAAAAATCTTGTGTAAAATGTGCTTTTTACATCATCTAAGGAATTATTGATGGACCTACGTATCAACCCATAATTCGCTCAAGTCCCGTAAAATGAGTTCTATGGGGCCACAGCTCTGAACAGGCTAGGCTTAACAGACCTGGCTTCCATAGCAAGTAGATTTTTTCATGGGATAGTTGCCCAACCGGTTTTGAATTTAAAATCTTCCTTCTAGACTGGGTAGCTATACATAAATGTGTGTAACATCTTAAACTGGTTGTATGATCCCAGTCAGACAATGAATCTTTTTCTAATCCTTTTTTTCTCTTCCAAATATTGACAGCAACTACTTTGGCCTCTCGGACAAAGGTCTCTGTCCGAATAATAGATGTCAACGACAATACTCCAAAATTCAAATTCCCTGACAATACGGAACTCATCCCGAACACTTATCTTGGAATTATCTCTTCACAGGCCGGTGTAAACGTTCCAATCCTCTCAGTGTCTGTAAGTCTCAATAACTATTCTGTGATTTTTTTTTTTTTTTGTACAAGAAAATTCTAAATCTTTGTCTTTCGAAGAATCTAATCGTCGAGTCTTTATCAAATGAATCCAGAAATGTCTCGAAATTAGCAAAATATTGTCGATTTGAAAACTGACACTAGATCACGTAAGAAAATATAATTTTATAGAACACAATATCAAGTGAAATGATGTATAACGAACGAAATATCAAGTGAAATGATGTATAAATATTTCAGTTCATTTATCGAATAATAAAACGGAAAACATAAGCTGAATTCGAATCTTGTCAAGATTAGAGAACTCAACATTTCCATGGCAAGAACAGCGAACCCAATTAACCCCATGTCAAGAGTAGCGATCCCAATTATCACCATAATAAATGAACTCTTTTATTGATAAATGAACAATTAAGATAACATTATTCAGTTTCCATAGAAAAACAGTTAAAATAATTTAGTTATTGAAAGTATTTTTTTTTGGATTTAACAACTAAAAATGTCTTTTTGTTGCTACATTTCATTTGTACTGTGAACAGTCTTTCATTTGACACTTCTACATATAACCATCCAGAGAGACTTTGTGTAATTCATGTTTTATATGAATCACGTTTTAATTTCCATCGAATAAGTGATTTATTCTTCTGGTAAGCTATCCTCTCTAAATAATAGCTTTACAACCTCCATGAACGGAGATCTCTGCATCCTGAGAATTCCTGGATACCTGAATTAATAAATTAAAACCAGTATATGAAAACAACTATTGAATCTTAAAATTACTTGTACCAAAATCTTTGTCTAGAACAGCAAAACCGATTATTCTCATGTAAAGAATAACGAACCCAATCATCTTGTAAAGATGCCGTGAGTGGGTTCGCTAATCTTGACAAGATCTTTGAATTCTGAAACTGCATACAGAAACTCCTCACTTACCGACCTACCTGTTTAATGACCCTAAACATATGACAAGCTATAAAATCTCATGAAATAAAGAAACCCAACGAGTCGGTATTGTATGCCGTGCGAAATCTTACATCAGTGTTTTCTCTTTCTTCAAAAATGAATAATAAATAAAATATCATTGTACTTTATGTACAAAGCGAAAATAATGTAGAAAATATAGAACTGATTTTTTAATTTGTTTATTACGTTTACTGTTCAGTACCGTACTGTACGGTATAAACATTCAGAATTAATTTTTTTTTTTTTTAATTTTTTACACTCGAAATAAAGCGATAAAGCCGTTAGGACTTAAGCAGAGTTACTTAGTGTGAAACTGAGCTAACGATATTGAGGAAAAAGGACAATAAAAGAACAGGATCCAATGAGACATAAAATGACGATTGATATTGAATTTGTATTTTTGAATATCGTAGTTGACTTAAGGTTACATCTAGCTATTTCAACAGTGAAATTAAATACCTTGTTGCCAATGTAGCATTTCCCTTAAATTCCTGAAGTCGAGGAATTACAGAGGAAAGTAATATTTTGCTTAATACAAAAATGTGGAACAAGGCCAAAGGGAGATAGGGGTAGGCTGGTCTTCAATCTGTCTTAAACTTTGCTAGCAACAATAATTGACCTAAACATAACCAAAGTATTCTTTACACTAAAACATTATTTCTTGCCATTCTTACTACAGCAATCATAAGACCTCAAAGTCTCCATGTAGCCCTAACTAATTCCCATATGTACAATTTTTCGGGGGAAGGGGGAGATAAAATAACAACACTTAAAAATGAAACCCCAATGAATATTAACAATTAGAGAGGAAAGTTCATTAGAACAATTACCATGAAAATATTTATAGAAAAGGCACATGGAAACTGTTACAGCAATGGGAAAATGACTCTAGCTGAGATGCCAGGTCAGCACAGGTAACGTAGAATAAAGGATTTTGTCAAGAATTTCTAGATATATAGCAGAAGCACCAGACAAGATGTAGTAGCAATATCCAATGCACAAACAAATGAATGACTTATAAACATGTGAGATAGAGAATTTTTCTCTCTAGAATCTAACACGCCAGAGTGAACCAACTTTCCTAGCAGCAGACCTAGCAAATGATTCAATATAATCTTTTCCAATTCATGTTGGCGGAAAAACGTTAAGGTGCAAATGAGTTGCTCTTCTGGAAGTTCAACATCAGCTAATTGCTGAAAGAAAGCAGAAAAAGTTCTCTAAGGCCGCAGTTTTGTTTTGGTGGGCGTTAAAATTAACAAACCATTCCTTGCCCCATTAAACAGATCGGAGGTCATTTTCCGGATCAGCAATGTTACAAACGATGCAAAAGTGACATTAAAGTTACGTAATGCTGGTTGACACAAACCCATTATACGTGTACTATGCCTGAAATAGTGGTCCGCTACAAGGTGTCGCTTAGTCACCAGCTTGTTTAGCGTCCATGCCGTTAAAACGGAATGCAATCGTTAAGTGAGTAGCGGCTGTAACATTTTAGTTGTGTATATCTGAGCGATGTTAGAGGGTTAGGGTTCAAACCCAGGTAAAAAGATTTCAAAATGATTATTTTAAAACTATGATTTTTATTTTTATTTCTTCGTGGGGTTGATTTTTTTTTTTTTGGGGGGGGGGTATTTGTTTTTTTTTTTCTTTTTTGGCTTTTTTCTTTTTTTTTTGCTAAGCTTTAATATTTATTAATAAATAATATAATATAATTTTTTTAACTATACAATTCATTATTGATTACGAATTATTTACGATTTTTTTCGATTGTAAATAACATTTTGCTTTCAATTTTTTTTTTAGGCCACAGATGCAGACAGCGGAACTTTTGGAGATATCAAATATTCCATCAACGATCCTGTTCCATTTAACATTAATGAAGCGACAATTTACAATACAGACGTTTATAAAGCTAAAGATCCTATCAATTACCACTTCAATGTTATGGCCAGTGATCTGGCGCCAATCAGCAAAACGAACGTTTCTGACACTGTGGTAAGTTCAAAATACATAATGCCCAAGATCTTCAAAGCCTTCACTGGCACTTCTTTCTTTTATTCATCAATCTTCTTGGCAACTTGATATTTACATAAACTTTCGCCCATTTGTATAGCTTCCAATACTATATATTCTTTTTTTTTTACCGTTTTTCAAGAATACAAGGACTACCAGAAATTAAGCAACATCAAGCCTGGTTAGTACATAGATGGGTGACCTCTTTGGAATACCAGATGCTGTAAGCTTGGGTGTGCGGATGGTGTAATGGATAACAGCTCGGAATTATTAATCTAAGAGCCAAGTTCCAATTCCAATCGAGTTTGTTATATTCACGTACGCGCTTCACCTCCAGTCCAGCTTTGGTTTAATTAATAAAACTTGTATCAGTAAAAATTATTATATAAAGAAAGAATTCTTACAATGTAAAAATATTTTCTGGCTTTAAATAACATGTAAAGTGTTGGTAAGTCGTAAGAAACAAATCGATCAATCCAAGAAACGACAATTTACAACACACAAAGAACTTAATCCATAAAGCGACAATAGCAAGAGAAAAAACAATGATTGTAGTAATGAATGGCTAGGCTAGTATTTTTGTTTTTTGTTTTGTTTTTTTAACATTCATCCTAATCAAGCCATTAAGACACAAGGGGTTACAAAGTGTGAGAAAATTAAAAAAAACATAACACTATTAAGGAGAAACACCTATAAAAGAACACAATTAAGACAGAAGATAACGATTAACGTTGCATTTAAATACTTGAAGATCAACATTGACTGAAAAGCAAGCCAGAAGAGTGTTCCTATTCTTAGGTATGTTGGTACATATAAAATGTATTAACCTAAAAATAAATATTCGTAAGAACGGATGTGTGTTTGTGTATAATATATATATATATATATATATATATATGTGTGTGTGTGTGTGTGTGTGTAGGTAGAGGATTACAGAGTAAGAGTTGTAGTGATTTGGAAAGCATCCTCTTCAGAAAACGGCGGTTCGTGGGAAGAAGCTGATCGAATGAAACTTACATCTCATCAATGGAATAGAAAGGGATTCGCTACAATGTCCGTGGCATGGTGGGTCCTAGCCGTGAACTGGTGGAACTAAGTCAATGGAAATAGCAATAGAGCAGCAAGAGGCTTGCGACGTTTTATGTGTGGGAACAAGAACGCGGAGACACTTTGGACTATTGAAACTGTAAAGTGAAGACGGGACATCTACTGCCCATATATAGGAGCGGCATTTCATTTTCGGCTTGATTTGGCTCTTGTAAATGATAGCAGCAGGAGTTGGGTACTTCTATGTGCCATGTACCTTCAGGACGTTGCCGATCATGGCTCTCCACAATGTCCTGTCCTTTATAGCTCTTATTAATTTTTGTCTTTTTGCCAAATCCTCCTTCTATCCATTCGCTCAAGCTCGACAGGACAGGGTGTACGCTGTTTTCCTCCCGCTCTCTTACCTTTAATCTATCCTGTGAATATCAAATTCCCTCTTTCCATGTTATGTACCCCGGAAATTCCAACTCCCTACCTGATGTTAAGCATAAGTGCCCTTTTTGCTGTTATTCACATAGTCGGTCCATGGTATTCTCAGCATCCTTCTGTAGAACCACTTTCATGTTGCTTCAAATCTCCTCTTCTGTGAAGATATTGTCCAGCATTCACTGCCATATAGATGTACTCTTTTATTTGATTTACTGAAGCCGTAAGTGGATTCAGGCCATGAGATTATTAGTTCGAATAGTTTAAGTAGGTTCAATGGAAATTCCCTCTTCACCGATTGTCGTGTTTGGTGTTGCCAGCCGATAACTCCAGTGAAAATCCAAATTTCGAAAATTTTGAATTGATCGATCATTTTATCAGTTAAATTCCACAGCTTTTTTCATCTTTCACCTGGCATTTAATGCGCCCTCCCACCGAAAAACACTCTACCAGCAAATAAAGAACCCAATATTCTATCATTTTTTTTCTTTGATGAATTTTTCACGTCTCAACTTTCCTGAAATTTTAGATTACTTTATAATACAAATGAATACAACTTTCTCATTGACACGTGTTAAAAGGCAGAAAAAAAAACTCATTAACTGCAAGAATACAGAATGCATGGTTGACAACAAAGAGAGTCAATCCAGGCTGACATATTGGAGCGTAAAAATCATTTGTACTTTAGTAACGAAAACTGTCAAACAAATTTGAAGAAATATAAGAATAACGAAAGAAGTCTTGCAAAAATTAGGCAAAGTATAAAGATATACGGAAATATCCTTAAAACAAAGAGTGCTGAATTTTGGACCATCTCCTCACAGACGAGACGGATGAATACTGAAATTACTATGAACGGAACATGGGAATAAAAGTTTTAAGGAGATAAGAACAATGAAACTGCTGCTATAAAACCAGAAAGAGTTAGTGTCTGGAATATATAATGAGGAAAGAAGGCTTAGGGAATTTAACACTCGGTACATAAGAGAAAGTGAAGTCGGGGAGGAACAGCAGATAACTTGACTATTTTGAGTGAATTTATGATAGGGCAAGGACAAAGCGTTAGTAACGAATAATTATTTAAAGCAACAAAACACAGGAAGTTGTGAAAAACCATATGAAAACAAAAATTATGTGTGGGGTGTAAAGGTTATCAGTACACAAAGTTGGATGGGCGATCCAAGTTCAAGTTCCGGCCTAATCTGTTGGATTTACTTCACGCTAATGCCCTTGGGAATACGTATCTGTATTCACCTTTCCACCCCAATCCATGGGTTAAATATTAAGGTAGACTGGGCTATCTAATCTTAGGTGGAAGTCCTGAATTCAAATCAGTGGGGAAACCACTATTTTTCCTCAAGACTGCATGAAAATTCAGTCTTATGATATATTTTAGTTTTAGTTTTTATTTAAAAAAAAAAATATTTAAAAATTACTTAAGAAGGCAATATGTATCATCTATAGGAAAGTCTGAAAGTGCAATGGTGATCTTTTGCCAGAATTGAAAGCGGTTCAAATAAACATTAAGACCAATCTGCACCTTTCATTTCAAATAAAATAATAATAATAATATTAAAACATTTGGCATTTCAAATATTTATCGTGTTGAAGAATTTTTAATTTCGATCAAATTTAACCCTTTTCTTTTTGTCGTTTTTCAGATCAATATCGTTTTCGACCAGAATCGATTAACTCTAAGAATTCCAGAAAAACCCAGTGTTATAGGAGCCAAACAAGATTTTTATGTGAAGTGAGTTATAGAATCTTGATAATGGTTTTTGAGTTTCTTTTAAAACAAATTTAGTGCATGGTCATTCAGTTACAAGTACGAGATCATCTTAATACAAAGAAAATGTTTTTTCACTAAATGTTTAAAATACTTAAAATGAAAACAAAGGCGATAAAAGACTGGATGCATTTCGATATATCAGACGTCAAAAATGTAAAAATTGTAATTTTAAAGCTCAGCGTTCCTGTGTCTCCAGCGTTTCTCGGTATAAAATTGTAACCGTCATTTTTTTGTATTTCTTCTTCTTCTTCCTCCTCCTCACTCACCTCCATATAATTATTTACCCGCTGCCCCACGCAGCAAGATGTGGCACAAGGCCGAGTTTAAAGTGGGGTATCCGAGCTCGTAGGCTCAGGCAAAAATTCCCTATAGACCACGTAAAAACGGAGTCAATTTCCCGAGACGAGACTCTGCCCTTCGGTAGAGCCTCATAAAACTCCATGATAAAGCCACTATTCCGAAGAAATCCTTTTGAGGAACAAAACTCGTAACGTAAGGTGTTTTTCTTTTTAATCTTATCATTCAAAATTCACAGTAAAATTTGGGGGAATATATTAACTAGAAATAACATTTGTGTTTTAATATGCTTTAACAATGGTTAGCATGGTTAAATGATGCCCAGTATACTGGGAAAGTAACTTCGAAAGAAAAGTATTTGGTGTAAATAATGATACACTTTCATGGAAGCAATTGTAACACGAAAGAAAATGACTTACCTCCTGGACGAAAACGGATTCGGAGGTGTCTCGCGTGTAAAGTTGCCATAGCTGCCTCATTTGTCAAACTGTCACAGTCCAGCTTTTCACCTTTTTTCGATGCGGTTCTGTTGTCTGCAAGAACGGCTGGAATGATATTCACTATCTTAAGATATATTTTTTTGTTTATGATGTCTGCATCCGGTTTTTTTTAACTTGAATCTGGGGATCAATTTGAATCTCTAAATTTTTTCTTTCCTTGGTTAGTTTCTAGCTTATCAAATTAAACTCGCTTGCACAGTCCCAAAGAATCGTTCCCATTCATTTTTATACTCTTCTAACATAAATATAATATAAACCATATAAGCATTTTCATATGTTCTTAACAAAAGCAAGAATTACTGTTGTCTCTGGGTTTTCATGTAATCTTGATAAGATCTCTAGACCGGAATAAATCTGTTTCTTTTCTCAACGAAACCATGTCCTGGCAAATCTGTCTTCAATTCATTTTATCTAGGTACCTCCACGAAATCGCTAAAAAAAAGAGCATAGCTTGATGAAAAAGACGCCAATCTTGCCGAAAACTAAATTTTATTGTCTAAATGCTTGTTATTATTAAGAGGAAAGACCAAAGTTTTTTTTAATTATTTTTAAAAAAATTTTCCTTCTTTTTAGAACATTCTAAATTTTGATTTAAAAAAAAAATTTTTCTATTTGTATCAGCGGAACTAGTAAATAACAGACAATTTTTAGCACGTTTTTTTTTGGTATGACACACATTAATTTGAAAAATCGTGCAAAAATAGAAATAATTATCGGATGTTAATGAAACTTTCAGGAACTATTCACAGATGATCGAAATTATTAGAAATGTTTTTTTTTATGAAAGTCATGGTAGAAATATTTTTTAAAAATGTTTATTACCCCCCCCCCCACTTTTTATGAAAACGCTAGAAATTTGATCGCATCGGTTTTAGTGATTACAATAATTAAAAGCATAGGGCTTTGAGGAATGCAAATCATGTTTTTTTTTTTTTTGTTTTTAATTGGATACGCAGTACCTGAAAATCAGCTCTGAATTGTAACATACAAAACTCAATAAAACAAAGATATTATTTAATTTCAAATACTTTTATTTGCTTTTAGTTGTTTTTATGAATATGGACAATATTTTCTGAAAGCAAAAAAATTTTTTCGATGAAAAATGAATTTTTAATACAATTGTTATTTCATTAATTATAATAGATTTTACATTTAAGTTGTTAAAATATCATAAAATTAGTTAAAAGCCGCATCGGCTTTCATAAGTGTCCTTATGAGATAGATCTTTTTTTTAGCGCGTTGTAAATTGTATCATTTTGACTAATCAGAAGATCCCCAGTAATTAAGAAATGTAATTTTGTGCTTATAATCGAGCTGTAATTATAAAATACGGAAGACCAACCAGAATATAATTAAGTTGCGTTATTTGAGTTAAGCATTGTTCTCCGCTGTTAAGGCCTTTACTTTTGCGAAACACGTGGGAGAAGTTAATTTGATTTTCGATTTCAACTGAGAAGGGTACCTACAAGTATCAGTATCATCTTATGAAATTTATATGATCTTATTTTTTATATTAATCTCAGTTATGACATTTTTCCATAAATGAAATATCAAAATTAATAATAAAATGAATGCAAATACAGTAGAATGTAATAAATGTACATAAAATTATAGTATTTTATGTACAATTCTGATAAAATTTCATAAGAAAGGTACCTATAAATTAATTAGATACCTTTCTTAAGAAATATGAAATTTAATGTCATTCTTAACAGTTTTATTTTAATTTCTTTACAATATATTTCCCATAAAGCATCATAAATGTAAAGGTGAAAGCTAAGTACAAAAAAAAAAAATTAGACCGCTGAAAGTTTTCGTTAAAAATAACGGGGTAAATAATTTGTTCACGTAAATGTAAATTATTTCACTTTTCTCCTTCCGTAGAACAAATTAGCCTCATGGAATACGTAAATATATCATTCATCACATGTCAAGAGACGCGAAAGTTTATGACCTGCTTTGTTTTATTTTCAAATTACATCTTTTTGGCACAAAAGCTGAGTTAAGTTTGGTTCAAAATATTTTAAATAAACATTATAATTTCTGATTTTCTTAAAATAAGTTTTGAAAAAATGATAATTGATATTTAAAAAAATTTCAAAGTCAGATTTCCAGTTTTTTTTAAAATGAAAAAAAATGGTCAATTTTGCTGACTCAAAAAAACTAGATTTTTAACGAAAATTTCGGACGTGCTCGGAACGATTAAAAAATGAAAAAAAATACCCCAAAAATACTTTGACCTTTCCTCTTAATAATAACAAACATTTAGACGATAAAATTTTGTTTTCGTCAAGTTTGGCGTCTTTTTCATCATGCTATGCTCTTTTTTTTTTTAGCGATCTCGTGGAGGTACCTAATTTTATCACATTCTCCATTTTAAGTTTTTTTTTTTTTCTTTCCAATTTTCTCCATAATCTACATATTAGCAACATCGACTTTAAGTTTTAGAATTTCCTGATTTTTAATCCAAAATTCTCGGTTTTTCTCTTAGTTAAGGAAAGATTTCCAAAACATTTAAATCCTTCAAATTTATACCTTTTTATAAGGTTCCTTGTTCTTCAATACCATTCCTAAAAATCTTTTTATCTTAAATTAAACACTTGTTTGCATTAAATAGAATTTATATGAATTTTACGTATAAGAAAAAGAAAACAACTCCTTCTTTATTTCTAGGTACTTAACTAACTTGTACAACAAGACAGCTATAATTGAAACGGTCAGAGCTACATATGACAATAGTGGAATTGCTCTGTAAGTATTAAACTCTTCTATAAATATCTGATTTATTTTATTAAGCGCTTCAAATATTATACGCTGATGGATAGTCATCATCTCTGAGTGTTTCACGGTGTTACGGGAATAATTGAGTAATTTACGTTTATTACCTAAAAATAAAAAATATTTTCATTTTTAACGTTTATTAAACAATATATTTGTCCTTTTTTTTTTTTTTTTTTGTTCTATCTTCTGCCAAATCTTTTAGCCAACTTTAAAATTCTATTCTCCTAGGAACTTCTCAAGGTGACTTCAATGGAATTTAATTTTTTTATGAAATTCTGGGATAAACGTTAATGTGAACTTTCGAAGTACGCTAAATGTGGCAGATAACTAAAAACTCTTAAGTTCTATTAAATACTATTTTCCGTAAAGAAACGTTCGATCTTGTGTTATCTAGATGCAATATACCGTTCCCAAATTTCGGACTTTTTTACTGTTATGTTGTTCTAATAGAATAATGGTGAAAATGCATCAACTAAAAATTTGTCTAATTCTCTTCTACCAATTTAGACATTGCAGTAATAAAGTCCCAAATATGAAGTAACATGCGATGAAAAAAACCACATCAAAAATAAATCCAATAATTATACATTTAACACTCTATTCTGTCAGTGACATTAATTTCTGACAATTTTCAAAGTGCAACCTAGAAATCGTGCGCTAAGTTGAATTTTCGTTTATTTTTTTGGTGCCTACTGCCAGAAATATTTTGATTACAGATGGCATTGGCAACAAAGTCGGAACCATGCCAACAGATGCCGGTTTCAAATACAAGTGGTAGGCGACTCGGGATAGACTAGTGCTTAGCGAATTAGTCTATTGACTCTTACTACAGGTCCAAAGTCACAAATATTGAGAACCATATTAAGCATTATAACAACAATGGATTCGAGACCATTTTGTCTGGAAATTGATCAAAGTCTAACTTCGGGGGGGGGGGACGTCCCGCCCAAACTTCATCCCAGGTTGCTCCTTCCCCACTAAAACTTAAGTGAGTCAGTTTCCAATGCTTGCAGTAAGCAAGAACTGTACATATTCTGGCATTATCCGTATATACGTTTGATGTGCTCTACGTTTTGACTTTGTATCGAACCTACCATAGGAAATCGGGATAAATTAGCTTCGAAAGCAGCCGGTGATTACATATAATCTGAATTATTTTCATTCATTGTCCAGATACCCAGAACTGAATATGCCACTGTGTATGGAATCGTTGGCGAGAGTGAAAGTATTGAGTGAATTGTGCAATGAATCCTACCCGTAATACCCGGATTTCTGAAAATAATACCGCCACCGCACAGTTTTTCCTTTTCAGCCAGATATCTAACATATGTTTTCCCCATCAAGTCGTACGTCATCAGACAGGTAGCACCTTTCGCAGAAACTTTTCAATGCCAAACGACACAGATTTCTGAAGCGATATGGAATACTAGGTTTTCTTCTGTTATAGATTAGCTTCAATACTCCGTGGTTTACCAGTATAAGGATAGCGACCAGTAAGAGGCTGGCTTTCTACTCCAAACTTGCCGTGTCCAATCTAAACCACTCCAGACGCCCCACTCGGAGCTTCCTTCGGTGGATTCAGTTATTGACATCATTGCCCGAATTAATTGGTCGATTAAGATTCTTCCTTCTCTAGTGTATTTTGTTTGTGGCATCAACACTAGGTGGTTTGCCAATACTCAGAAAAGCTACCTCCACTTCAGATTTATCTCAACAGACACTTACAACACAAACAAATATCTGGATTGAATTTGTCATAATGTGGGTCGTTCAGGTGAGTATTTACCCAGTTATCACTGGGGCGTTGTTGTTTATACCACCGAACTTAGTCCTGCATTGAGAGAATCGAAATAAAAGCTTAGTATTTTTGTGTTGCTTGGCACTTCAAATATTCTGCTGTCTGAAGTCGTTTCCACTTGAAGAGCACCCCATAATTCAATGTCTTCAGTTGAAAATGAAAAGCGTGATGATATTATTATTACTAATAATAATAAATAGTAGTAATAATGGTAGTTGTGATAATTATAATAAACTCGGGGCCATACCACAAACGCTAGAATCGAAATTTAATGAATTATAATTTTGAGGAAGTATGGTCCAGATATTACGAAAAATGCTCGATATTTGAGGAGACTTGCTATTACTTAATGTCCAGTAATAATTATCAGATATCTTATGTGAACATTAAAATGCACGAAATATTTTTTTTTCAGTACTGAACTTATTTTCGTCCTTGTTCAAAATACATCGCCACATTTACTGCTCAACGTTACCAAGTAAGTAAAAAAATCAAAATACGCTCTTTTAAAGATACGTGTAAGTTGTTGATTGGTGTCTAAAAAGTATAATGAAGCAATTATATGAAATGGTTTATATAAATTTGTATTATGATGTAATCCTTCACAAATTTCATTAGTACACTTTTAAAAAATACTTCTTTTCAAAAATGCAGTTAATAAAAAATGAATTCTTTCAATTCGCCTCACACTATTCCCATTTTGTAGCAAAGCATTTCGTCTCTCTTCACTCATTTACTATTAACTTCCCGTCTATATGGTACTAGTAAAGAGCCTTTCCACTCTTGCTCTCACTCATCCAAATTCAACTTCCCTCTATTTATTTCTCTTTTCGTTCGTTTTCTCCCACTCTCTCCTTATCTTACATTTTTCTTGATCAAGAAGTCTTTTTCCCCACCTATGATGAATAAACACTCCTTCATTTCTTTTTCTTGTAGTTAACCTTCGATTTTCAATTTAAACTAATATATATAATTTTTTTTTTTTTTTGCTGATTAAAATTCCATCTCATAAACTCAATGATTGTTTACCCGCTTCCAGTAAAACATATTTAACCGGGATTCCGACCTCAACCTGCTTGATTGCTAAGAACTTCGGCTTTTAAATAAATATTCTTTTCTTCTTCTCAAGTAAGCTCATTGACTGAACCAATCTAAACTTCTTTTAATCTACTAGTAAACAGAAAATTGGAGAATTATACTTCCCATTTCTCCCTTTGAGTTGTACTCGTCTTGTTCAAAGGTCAGCTTCAAAGGCTTATAACAGGAGACAATGTGCTTGGCACACACAAGAAATACTGTTGTGCAGAATGTAACAACAGCCAACCTATTTTGATATGCTGGTCGACTTGGGGGAAAAAAAGCTTCAGATATTCAAAAACCTTGATTATCAAAGTGGAAATATCTTCACAGAACTTGCTTTACCTGTCTATTCTAGATGAATCGATTCCAGAATACAAATGCACTCATAACATTCTCATATGACATTGTGAAATTGTTCACATACAGGTCCACACATCCATTGATTACTTCTCTATGCACACCAGATTTGGCGAATACATATTTTTTATCAATGATATACAGATGCATATCATAAATACATCTATCTATTTATATATACCCACTCAAAAGCCTAAACAAACGCTCTAATATTTAACACATTAGGATCATTAGTAAACATCTATGTAAATCTATGTAAATGATGCTAGTATTTGTTGATACATTTCTAAAAATGAAGATGATCCGAGCATAAGCAGCTGATCTCGCTTTAACAGCTTAATGGTGAAAATCTGCTTTGTAAAACTTAATAGCTAAAAAAATTAAACTATTATCGTTTTATAATCACAGACCAGACCCCGAGTTTTCTCTGGTTATGATGAATAGAGTCAATGAGGCACCAAGCTTTTGAACGTCTGTTGGGTCTCAATTTCACCCCAGGACTCAAGTGGAACTCGTATATACGATCCACTGCTAAAGATGCTGGAAAATTGCCATTTCATTCCGTCACTCGATGAGGTACTTGACGCCTTCTTTGCAATGGGGAGTTATTCCTCAATCTTCATTGCAAAATCTACGCAGTCTTGCGGGGGTTGTGGAGGCTGTGTTGAAAAATTGTTGAGTAAATTAGGTTGCGTGATGAAATTAACAATTTCCTCTCACATTAAATTTTAGTATTCAACAAACATAGAATAAGGACAACATGCGAAATAACAGTTTTTGCACAACAATGAATAAAATATTTATATAAACAAGAGATACAAAAACAACTGGAGTAAAAAGGTAGTTTTAAAAAGTTCAAACGTCCTTTTATGTTTAGATAAAAAGTTATCAAAGTTCTGGTTCGATAGATTATAATTTGTTGAATGGTCTGTACAATAATGAGAAAGTGTGTTTTGGTATTATAGTAATTTAAGAAAAAAAATAAACAGTTCAAGTTTGTATTTGAAATAGAGAAATATTGTTTACAACTTACTTTAAGGTTTACGGAATTGTCACTCTTTGATTTGCTTTCACTGGTTCGAAGAGAATATTCTAGTTGGTGTAAGTGGTTCTTAACAAGCTGTTTTTATGTTAATTGCAATAATTAACGTTGAGCTTGGCAGCATATGAAAAAGATTTGTGCATTAAGTTGAATGTGGAAAACTTGAGTTGATAGTTCGTCATAAAATATTGCTGTGTGAATGAGTGTTCTCTCAAGCTGGAATTATGTTAAGGAACTTCAACGTAAAGTCTGGAACTGTGTGACGAGTTCAAAGGATTCCGATCAGCGCACTGTCGAAGATGAAAGACGTTTCGTATTTTATTGCTAACTTTGATCACGTGATAGGCTCATAGAAGCTTGATAGATTTTGGCGGAATTATTTTTTTGGTCAGGTCAAGAACTAGGTCTATGTTATTAAATATTAAGTGACCAATTACATGTTGAGATTTTCTGAAAATATTTACTAAGCTAAATACGCTCTGTGATCCACTTTTTGTACGAAAATTGATATTGATAAAAAAAAAACGTGGTAGCGGGATGCTAAAGGGTGGGTAGAGTTTTATTTTCCATATTGCAGCCTCTTTCTCAAATACGTAATGTTGCAAACCAATAGCTATTCTGTCGTTTTACGGCGGCAAAATTTCAGATGTGTTCCATTATTAACTTTCGCTATTTCAGACTTTTACAGCTAGGATGCGCCATACGGTTTACGCGGAGTTCACTTTTCATCATTTCCTTCGTATTCCATTCTAAGAATGTTCCACACAAACATCGTTTTTTCCCCATAGCATTCACTTTGCGAAACAAACTTCTGCGTGGGTCCTTCCTTGAACGCTACAATCTTAACCGCTTCAAGTCAAAGATCAGTTAACTATTATCGTTATCATTTCATTTATTCTTTCATTCATATCACACATTTAATCATTACCATTTTAACAGTAACCATCTTTGTCGAGTGGCGCTCCAGCTTTGTATTGGTTGAATTCTAGTATTAAAAAAAAAAAAGTTGTTTTTTTTTGTTTTTTTTTTTTGTAATGTACTGAAAGTTTGATTTGCAAAAATCTCATGTTATTTTTGTAAAGAATGTAGTTGATAACTACTAAAATGCGTTCCCGCTTAACATGATTAAAATAGGACCAACGCCTTCGTACTTTATTAAAATTTTGTTTGCAATTCATGAGAATATAAATACACCTATACAAACATCTGTAAGTATTTGTAGCGTTCTAATTCTTTTAATGCTTCCCATCCCAATTTCTCAGTTTCGTTCTCTCTTAAAACGACGTCCAACCAATTAACAAATAAAGGCATATATAGACATTTTACTGTTAGACACTCCTCCTCACGTTCTTTCTCTCACTTTGCTGTATTTTTTTTCTTTCCGCCACCTCGCTTAATTCTGAAGTTTAACATTCTCTTCTCTATAAAGCTTTTTCGTACACCACCTTTCGGTCTCCTTTAGCCTTATTACTATTTTTAGCTCTACTTCCCCATCTTTTTGGACAGCTATGACCTCATAACCCATAATGGTAGATGCACTGTGGTCAAACCAGTTGCAATCATGCAAAACAAACTCACTTTCTCTCTCTCTCTCTCTCACTCGCCGCTTATACACAATCTACCATCACAGGTAAAATCTTCAATTTATATTATCAAGACATTTTGAACACACAGCTTGTCAGTTCACTTGTGTATTTTATAAAGTCTGCAATATTCAATTTTCCTCAACTAGACACATTAACAGTTTCTACATATTTATATCAATTTAAAAAAACAAAACAAAACGATAAACACTTTTTGAGTTTTACCAGTTTTGAAGGTTGAAAATTTGTTGGTAGGTATATGCTATTTTACTTTTATTGTTTTATAAACAAATGCCTTTCATCGATTTTACAAGTAGAAAAGAATAGCCGCAGTTAACTTGTCATTCAAACTTTATTTTCTATTCCAAAGTCAGATACTGAACTAGTCTTTTTTTTTTTCTTTTCTTTTTTTTTAATTGTTTTATATCTGCTTTGTTTTGGGGGACTTACTATCTTATAATTGACACGCGGATAAAGAGAGAGAGAGATAACACAAAACTAAAAAACGTTGAAATTTTGTAGCACGTTTTGCTTTAAATTTTTAATTGGGAGAAAAACAGTCCATAGGAGCGACGCCAGTGTTGGCAGTGGCATGAAGAATTCAAATATTCTTTTACGTTTTTTTTATATATATATATATATATATAGTTTCTTTCTGATGTGAGGTGTCGTTTTTCAGATAAAAATTTATTGCGATGAATAAATAATGCATTTAATTTATTTTCTTATGCCCAACAATAAAATCTATCAAACGTTATAGACAAACTGGATATGGTTGAAAATAGAATTAAATTTACTATGAAATCGAAATTAACCGCACACACATACAAAAACAGTCCTCCTTTTATGCTTGCTTCATTAGATATGACTGTCAAGGAATATTGTTTGATATTTTGTGTCCTTCATATATATATATATATATATATATATATATATATATATATATATATATATATATATATATATATATATATATATATATATATATCAGTGTGTCCATAGTGTTAGTTTTATTTGGCGCTTTCGGTTAATACGTTAGCCTTTTTTTCAGCGCGGTCTGGGGTATTTCTTTTACTGCAGTTTCTGAACAAAGAACATTCTAGCCACGTTCGTTCGCAGTGCTAGTAAGTGATGGTCAGTTGAATTTTTTTTTTTTTTTTTTTCCTCACATCTAGTTATTATCTCTGTATAAGGGATACTGAAATGTTTTTAGTCTGACAAAGAAAAGATGAAAAAGAAAATTGAGATAATAGAATATTTTGAGAAGAGGGTAAGGCTGAAAACTTTTCAACACACACTTGAATATTACTACACTTAGTGTTACTACTTTAGTCAATATAGTGTTGAAATTCGCATCTGTCTTTACACCTGCTTACCTACCTTGACTCACCTGTCTCATTTCTTTTTCAGACAAGAAATCAAAGGTAAACTCGATAACAATTTGGGACTCATACAAGACGCTAAACCTGAAATCGTTGGTTATTTACCCCAAACTTCAGTCATGAGAACAAAAAGTTATATATGGTGGATGGATGACCCTTGGGCTGCACTTGTGGCCCTGGCTGCCATTATCATTCTGCTCTGTCTTATTGGAATCATCGTTGTTCTCTTCACCTGGTCAAGGTGAGTACATTCTTTTACATTCATCTATCGATATTTCCACTACAGAATGTCCGTTCTGGTTCTTATGAACACTATCGGAATTGTTTGTATTCTTCAAGAATTAAAGAAGTCTACTAAAATCAATCATCGAATATCATCAAAGGGCTTTTTACCCTGGTTTTCAAATCGGAATACAGGGTTTCATACCCCAGTTCTCATGAACTCTTTCTTGGCTATTGTACTTGTAATTGCAGTAACTATAATATTTTAATATTATAGTTTATTTATATTATGCGGCAGTTAAAGCCACAAAATTTATGTGGCTTCACGTAAAACTTAAAAATTCAAATAATGTTGTCATATGTATCGTTTCAAATTTTAATAATATACAAGAAAACTGCTTGAAATATTAAAAATAAATAGATGGATGATAAGCACAATGACTAAAGAATTTGTTTGAACTGACGATACACAATTATGAAAAAAAACTTTCCCAAAATTCAGTTGGGAATTGCCAGATTGTGATATACACGACGTGATGCAGAAGGAATGGAGATAAATAGAAACGTTTCACCAAAAACTACCATAAATGGCTAAAAACCTAATATCTTCTACAAATGCAGGCCAAAATTTAATTTCCAACTGGCTTAAATATCCAAACAATGATCGAAGGTTAAACGACTGAAACGTTAATGATGATGATAATAAAGAAATTATTTATTGAAATAAAGAAAGAAAACAAAAACATCGTTCTAGAATATCATTAATTTCTAATTAAACTTTTGAAAAGAAAAAATGTTAAAACTCGTGGGTCTTTTTCTTCGTAACTCCAGTTCTTTCCTTAAAGTCTTGGTGAGAATCTTGAAGTTTTATTTGAAACATTTTGTAAATCTTTTCCAGGTACACAAAATACTTAAACCAGTACAGACTTCATCATTTGGCTAATGAACCAACAGAATTCCTAGAACCACCAAGCTTGAAAAATTTCGAAACTCAGGTAGGCAATAATTTCGATCTGTAATTTAATGATCGATGTTTTTGCGCTCTCTTTTTTCTCTTTCTCTCTCTTTCTCTCTCTTTCTTTCTCTCTCTATCCTCGCCATAGATAAACACAATTTTCATTTAAGATTTTTTTGCTGATAATGCTTTATTTTTTTCCATATTAATTTTTTTTTTTTTTATATTTTATCAAACAGATAGTTTTTAATAAAGCATATTTGAAAATATAGTCACATGATTTACAATGATTAAGAGTGTTCGCTGAGGATCTTGGAGAAATTGTATGCTTTCCTCAGACACTCAAATTTCGCGTAGAAATCTATGCTCTCACGTTGACGCCAGAAAAAAAAAATACGGATTTTGACCAAAATTTCCAATATTCTAAAAAGGATAAAAATAAGTTATTTTTACATAAAAAAAAATCCTTTTAATAACAGATTTTGGTAAAATTGTTTTGGGACCTACTTTTTATCTAAATGGCTTCTTTTAGATTTGTTTTCAGTAGAGTTGGATCGAATCTTCATACACTGAAATTTGTATTTTAGATTGAAATACTGATCATATAGATTTATATGTACAAAGATGCCAATATTTAGTTCGTTGACACATGGCATGAAATTCGAAACCTTGTCATTTAAACCGGCACCAAATGCAACAAAATGAAATATCTACAATGTATCTTTACTGTAAATAGCTGATGTTGCTGTTAGCAGATCTGGTTAGGTCACCTGACCTTCCTAAATTCCTCTCGTATGACTATCTACTTCTTCAATATTTACACAGGTTCAATGACAACCAGTCAATCTGCTTGGTTGGTGAAGTGTCAACACCAGTTTATTATAACGCGCAAGAAGTAAATTCCTCTCCCTCATATACCGAAGTTAATTTATACATACAAATTTTCATATATGTACAACGCGCGTGCGCGCGCGCACACACACGTGTGTGTGTGTGTGTGTAGCAGTTTCTGTTCACCTGTTTTCCCAGCTTCCATTTTCGTTTTGTCTTCTGTTTTTGTGGATTTTTTTTTTTTTTTAATCTTTTTTTTCCTCATTAATCCTGTCTTCTTTTCCCTTATTTTAAACTTTTTTTTTTTCTTTTAATTTCTGATACAGTCGCTTCTCTCTGGTTGTCTTAAACACCTTCCTTCCATTTTTTTTTTCTTTCTTCGTTTCTTTTCCACTTTATCCATGCCGCTTTTACTTTCATTGCTTTAATAAACTTGCTTTCTACCCATCTTCAAATGAGATAAACTTAGCATCAGATGGCTGAGCTGGTGTCAAAACTTCAGTTGCTATTCTATTTGCCAAACAGACAGAAAATAGTAAAAGATGGCTAGAGCTATTCAATGAAGAAATACAATCAGTGAAAAGAAAAACGGCCCGAGTTATCATTTGCGTCTTTTGGTTGCCAGTTCCTGTCAGATAAAGTAGAAAAGAACAAATGAATTACGCTGTGTTATCAAATCTTTTATGCCTTGCTGTATACCAATACATTTGGCTACCATCTTGTTAGTCGTAAATACATTGTAACTTTTTTTTTTTTTTTTTTTTTCAATGTGTCATGCTAGATAATTTTTCTCTCCTGAATTTAGCTTACATATTTATAAGTCTACCATTCGTTCATGTTTTGAATTTTGCTGCGACATATGTTCCGGTGCTAGTGCTGTATATTCTTGATAAAATCCAAAGGAGAATTCTGACTTGGCATGCTTCGAATATTCCTGCAAAAATGGTCCGGTGCTCCTGTTATATATCGAGAAATCCTTGATAAAATACAAAGAATTTGCAGAGTCTGTCTATATTTCTGAGATGAGGTATTATGTACAGTATTTACATTAGTCGGACTATTGTCCTCATCTTTGTCGCCATATTTGTCACAACGTTTCGGTCGTTGTATGCTCCGGCCTTCTTCAGGTGGTTGGAATTTCGAACTGAACCCTTTATTTCGATCACTGGGGTAGATTGTTCTAGTTCCACGTGCCATGTTTGATGGATGTCAGTTATCAGTTATCTCCTGCTAATTTTCCCTCTGAAAGTTCTCCACTGCCTTAACCAGGTATTGAACTCACCTTCTTTGGGTCTGTCACTGGATCTAACCAACGCCTTTATCCACTGTGCCATGTGTCCTTGAGGATCGAAATAAAGGGTTCAGTTCGAAATTCCAACCACCTGAAGAAGGCCGGAGCGTACAACGGCCGAAACATTGTGACAAATATGGCGACAAAGATGAGGACAATAGTCCGACTAATGTAAGGAATTTGCAATTTTATTGGTCTTGACTTATCATCTTGGCTTCAGTCACTTTCTCATCGCCGTAATGTATCTTCCCTGTGCCTTTTCTATAAATACTTTCCTTTTTTAATTGTTCGGGTGAGTTTTTCTCTATGGTACCTAAACTTTATGAATTTATGCACAGTAATAAATTGGTGGTAGGGTCTCATCAGTTCAGTTGGATTGACTAGACTGAACCGTAAGTTCTATGCTAACAGTTTCTTCTCTCGCTTGTGTAACTCTCTTCCGGCTCCATACTTTCCAGCCAACTTTATTTTCAAAAGTTCAAATGCAATGTTAATCGTTATCTGTTGTCGTCTTGATTCCTCTTATTTTATTGTTCTCGCTCCTTAATAATGTTTCTTTTTCTTATTCTTTCACACGCCTTGCGTCTTAGTGGCTTTACTGCCTTGCAGGGGATGATAGTCAAATGGAACTGAATCTGATTTTTTTAATCCTTAATTTGTCAGCCTCTAAAATATGAAGAGTTCTTTACAAATCTGAATTAAATGCAGAAAAAAAAACTCAGCAAAAGTTTCAAAATATTGTCTTCTGGAGTTCGAACCTTTTTAATGAACGGTTCTTAGAGAGAAAACAATGACATTTTGAAAGTTTTCAATTTTGCTTGTGCCGTGAACAGAGGCGCAAAGGAAAATCACAAATCATTTGAGGTGTCAATAACGCTTTTATTAACATAAAAATAGTAGATATATTTGAGTTTCTCAAAGCACAGGAAACTATTTCAGCGGCTTCCTCTAAATGGTATAGATTGACGAATGGTATTGTAATACGCTAACTCAGTATTTGAGGTCTGCCATATATGATCTGTGTTGTGGTAGATCACATTCAATAGCAGCGAATGACGTATTTGATCGGTTAATTTGACATGAAAATACTTTTCTTTTTCCAGTCTCTGAATATGTTTGTCCCAGCCGACGAAGCTGAACGAGAGCTTGGTGAAATCAACATGACATTCGAAGGTGATACTTTGAGACGAGTTGAGCATCAGGGTGCCGACCCAAACGTCGCCTCAGCCGTAAACCCTCTTTTCAATCAGTAAGTATACTGCTTGCGTGCAAAGGTAGCATGTGACCTATTTCTCTTTTTCATTTCAATAATAAATGACTAATTCTGATAAAATTTATACACATGTCGTGTTATATATATATATATATATATAAACGTTGTAATAAACAAATAGAAAAAATGCTGTCGGCTCTACGTTAATTATAGGGTTTTATGTGAGCACTAGAATAATTAGCGTACACCGAAATGCGCCATTTTTTCCTCTCTCTTACGCACACGATAGGGAATCAGAACTGACAACGTACCTTCATGAGTAGTACCAGTATTTGATAAAATTAACGCTAAAATAAAATTAAAAAAATAAATAAATTAAAAATATCCAAAAACGTTATGATCTTAAAACCAACAGAGGTTTAACCGATTTTTTGGTCTTTGAGGGAAATCATCGTCACTTGCCCGCCGTGAAAGCAGTTTCGACGATACAAAATAATAATTAAATCTCTATCCGGCAGTATTCATACGGTACCACCATCCGTCTCTAATTCTTCATAATGTTAAACAGAACCCTAGAAAGAAATGGTACGATTGAAATATTTACCTAATAATTAACCATATTCAGTCCCTTTTATAAAGAAACGCTTTATCTCATTTGTATTGTTCTTTTTCTTTTAAATTTATAATTTCAGAAAAAATAAAGCAAACAAGAAATTATTGTATTCATGTATTTTCCACAATTTTATCTAACTCAGCAAATACCTTAATATCACGTATGGCACTTAATGAATATTTGACAAAGTGAATGTAGCGAAATCTGACAATTATAAAAATGTAATTTTTTTTATTTTATTTAATCATAGTCCACTAAAAATTGAAGTATTAAAAAATTGCTATGCAAAAGCCTAAATCATTGTTCCCGTACCTCAAATTTAAACTAAAAAATTGCAATATGTCTCGCTGAAAAACAATAGATTATATTTAAAAAATTAAATTAAAATATTTAGTAAAATAGGACGTAAAAAGAAAATTAAAAATTCTGAATATACGACGACGGTCGAACAAAGAAAATCAGAAAATTCAACACACGCTCGCCGAACGAAAACGCAAAATTTGATGAGGTCTGGTTCTTGCTGTCGGGGAAACATCTCTTAAAACACGTGACATTGTTAAGAACGTACATCCATATATTCGGAAAAAAACGTCTTTATGCAGACTTATAGCTATGTCCAAAAATTCGCTAAAAGAAAGAGCATGCTCTGCTGAAAAAAGTCCCAAACTTGATTTACCAAGTATTTTTTTAGTATTTTTTTTTAAATTAATCCTTTCTAACTCGTCCGAAATTTTACCTAAAGAATCTTTTTTTTTTCTTTTTGTCATCAAAATTAACGTAAAATCAATCATGTCGGCCATTACTGACACTTTTGTAAACAAAAGTGAATTTCTCCGTTTAAAAATCTTGTAAAATTCAATTATACTTTTTCAAGTTATTTTAGGAAAATGAGAAAATTTAAAGTATACTTAATGTAATTTGAAAGAAACATTTTTTTTTTTTTTTTTTTTTTTTTTTTTTTTTTTCAGAGCTAAATTTTGGGCATTTCCATAATTCTTTACAAAAACTAATCGATGATTTACAAAATTACAGAGACAGTCAGTTTCAAGTTTTCATAAAATTAAGTAATAGGGGTGGGGTAACAGATGTAAAAAAAAATTATTTTTACCATCACTTTCTAAAAAAAAAAAAAAAACACATTTCTAAAATAAAGTCATTCATTTTTTAATAAGTACTGAGAGTTTCATTAACATCCGACAATTATTTGATTTTTTTGCAAGATTTCCATATTAATGTGTTTTCAACTGAAAAAGGCGCTAAAAGAACCTAATGCTAAATATTACGTCAACCACTGACTTAAAAAAAAAATTCAAACATGCTAAAAAGAAATAAAAAAGTTTTAAATTAAAAATACTTTGGTCTCTCCTCTTTTTTGTGATAAAACTTTGTTTTTATTAAGTTTGGGGTCTTTTTCATCAAGGTATGCCACTTTTTAACTAAAAAGTAGACATTCCTACTCTAGAACAGTGTAAAGATCTTTTTAAAATACAAGTGTATCGCAGTATAAGCTTTCAAATATATTATCTGTAAAGATATTTAATAACAGCATTTCCTAAAGGGCAAGAATTGAAACTTAATTTTTAAATATTTAAATTTGTCACATTTTGTATTTAAAACTGAAAAGAAAACAATTCTTATAAATTCATCAGAAAAATATTTTGGCTTCAGGCAATAGTGTCCTCAACATATTATTTATAAAAGCTATTAATGTCTTAGTTTTATTGGGTTTTGTATTTTACAAAACAAATTGATTATTTATATTCTTCAAAAAGTTTTCTGCTTTTAACTAATATAATCTATAAAAAGGCATGCCATCGAATTTCTCAAGTTTTCATAAAACTACATGGGTGGGGGTAACATATATAATTTCTTTCATTTGTGAAAAAGTTCTGGAATTTTCATTAGAATCCGATTATTTGATTTTTGCAACAATTTCCAAATCAATGTGTTTTTCACCTGAAAAAAGGCGCTATGGCAAATATTATGTAGACTATCTCTAACATGCTAGGAAGGATTAAAAAAAATATTAAAATGATCAAAAAAATACTTTAATCTTTCCTCTTAATAATAACAAACATTTTGAGGATAAAACTTTTTTTTTTTATTAAGTTTGGGCCTTTTCTCATTATGTTTCTTTGGCAAATTAGTGGAGATTCCTAGTTTAATGAAGTCTGGACACAAATATTTCATCAATAATTCAGGGAATAAGGCAGTGTGTTTACTATGTCATGAGATAGTTGCCATATTCAAGGAATACAATTTTAAAGGACCCCCCCCCCAAACAAATCGTTTGATAGCAAAATGTCCCAGGAAAAAAGCTGCAGAGTGTGTTATGAAGCTGAAGGAGCAATAAAATCATATAATTTAGGAAGCAATTGACACTTCAGGATGGTGCTACAGAGGCAAGCTTCATGGTAGCATACCACTTCACTAAAAGAAAAAAGCCAAACCATTTTCTGATAGTGAGTTTGTTAAGCAGTGCTTGGTAGATTGCAGAAGTGTCCTGTGTCCTAATGCAAGTAACAAATACGAAACTATTATCAAGAAGAATTATATTGCAGCACATAGATTTAATCAGTGGCGAGCTAACAGAATTCTGTGAGGAAAGATTTTATTTGGTTTTCTTGAACACTTGAGTAGTACGAATAATCAAGATCCTGCACAGTTATCTTTATCTGTGGAATTGATAAAGATATTGTCATCACAGGAACTACTTGGTTTGGAATTTATAAAGACAACCACTGGTCAGGATTTGTTTGTGTGTTTTATGAATTGTGTGGAGAAAAGTGCATTGTCATAGAATGGCAAGCATTACAACAGATGGGAACAGAGCATTTACTGGATAAAAATGTGGGTATGATTAAACTTGTAGAGAACAAGTTAAAAGCAGAACACTCAGACAGTGATATCTTGTCTCTAAATTGTATTTTTGTATCAGGAAAGCTTTTGTAAAGCTACACTGGACCTAAAGCATATGGTAGATCCAGTGGTGAACACTCAACAATTGACAATTTAAATCTCTGCTTGAGGACATGAAGGTAGAGTATTGGTGGTTGAGCCTGGGCAACAGTGTATGGCTCAACTACCAGAGTCATAAAACTGGTTTGGGAATTACAGAATTCTAGACATAAAGGGGAGTTCATGCGATTTTGTGACCAAAATGAGATGTGAGGAGTAGAGATATGAGATGATGTTTGCAACTGATATGTTTGAGAAATTGAATGAATTGTTGCAGGGATGAGAGGCTGTTTGCACATGAAATGTTGTGGCATGTGATCTCATTCAAAACAAAATTAAGTCTCTTTGAAAGGCAAGCAGATGAAGGCGAGTTTTAGCAAAACAGTGCCTGCAAGTGTTTCTTCCAAGATTAGAGATCATTTGCTGAGTTTGGAGGATGCAGCCACAGATTTCAGGACTTCAAGAAAATTGAGCCCAAATTCAATGTGTTATCCTTTCACTGATGATATTGATACAGTACCTGAGGAGGTGCAGCTTGAACTAATTGACACAGTCAAATCAATCATTGAAAGAAATGTTTAATTCTGTTACAAATCTCTAGCTACTGACAAATTTCTATGTGTGAAATAATTTGCTGTGAAAATTTTTCTTGCATGAAAGTCAAGAGTAAAAATAGATTCTCTGTGACTTACAAACTTGCAGGCAGTAATGAGGATCTCAACAAGCAACCTCATTCCTGATTTCAAAATAATTATAAAAAAAAGTGTCAGCATTTACATTTTAGATTTATGAAATGTAATGTTAACTAATGAATGTTTTAGAAGATGCAGCCCTCTGCTAACCATGACCCTCCAAAAGTAGCTCCTGAGCCAAAACAATTACCCACCCCCTGGTATATACTGTATGCTAATCCAAAATAAATCAGTTACTGTGAAATCAAGGAAAAATAGAAAATAATGACACCTTTCTACAAGGTTGTCAGTTGTTTATAATGTATCAGCCAAAGAACAAAAATTTGAATTTTTTTTTTTTCACTGTGTCTAGTGACAGTTTAGTATGTTTAAAAAGAATGATTGTAAGCTTTCTGATAAGCCTGGCTCTGAAGAATAAACTAATTCAACAATATACTAATACCAAGTAAATTAGAAAGAAATAAAAGAATTCTCACTTTGTATGAACTATGATCATGATCAGAAAATCAAGTGAGATATTCATCCCTTTTCAATCATTTTATGATTTATAGCTAACAAGATGACAGCCAATCATTTTCTTCACCAGATTGTTAGAGACTTATGTTAGTTGACAACAAATGCAATGGTTATCTGCCGCTGTCAAATCAACCCAAACTTCAAGTGAAAAAGATTTTGCTAAGTATTTAGACACAAAAAAAAAGTCATTAATATGGGAAATTTTAGTTCATTTGCTATATTCATCAGATTTAGCTCCTCCATATTGTCATGTTAGGTTCACTAGAGCAGTTTCTTAGGGATATACTGTTTATAAATAAAATATTTCAGGGGTTTTTTATCATATGGGAATTAAATTGATTATTTATTAATTAAATGTCATCGACCAATAAAATTGAATTATATTTTTCATTATTAACTCCTTTTCAAAAATTGGTATTTTAAGTTAACTAGCAAATAACCAGTTATTGCCAAATTTATTTAAGGTTGACAATATCATCTCTAAAAAATTTGTTTGAGATATATAACTGTTAATTTTCCACACAACTGTTATTTCTCTATCTCTACAATTTTCCTTTTCTTTCAGACATTCCCAAGAAGTTCCACAGCCTACAGGGCATACAGAAACCACAACAATTCTTTGATTATTACTTCCCCCCGCCCTTTTACTCTTTAATCCTCAATAAATAACATGTCTAATATTATTCATAAAAGAAAAAGACGACCCACAAGTAGATCTTGTGAAAAAGTCAAAAATGACCTCGTAATTTACCCACATTCCTCATGTGAAAAAAAAAAATAAACAAACATACAATACACCAACTTATTTTTATATTGAGAAAAGAAAAACACAAAAAAATTTACCTGTGAGATATTTTCACAAAACAATTGAATTTTTAAAGATAAATATGTGATCAATTTTCTTAATCTTGTTTTTTGTATGTATAAATTGAGACATTTCACTGAGGTAATGGATGGATGGATTATACATTTTTTTTTTTTTTTTTGTATATTTTATACTCTTTAATTTCATAAAGTCGATGACAAAATATTCAGAACTCTTTTCATAAAAACTTGTCCTCATTTTATAAAATAAAAAAATCAGTTACAGATTATCTGTCAAATTTCTACAAATTTTAAATAAGCAATAAGCATCAGATAAAATCTTTTTTTTTTTTAAATAATTGACATGTAACTAATTATATTAAGGAAAAAGATTTTCGTCATTAAAATTTTTCAAAGATTGCTGGTTCAAGCTCACAATTAACAAGTGAAAATATTCTCCACTGTAATCATGTAAAATTTACAAACTTCTCACTAAATTTTCCAATCTTTTTCTTATTCATTTCTCAGTTCCAAAGTTACTTTCCTAGCTTAAAAAAAAGGATTAAATTGTCAATTCTTTTAAAGCCATTTTCCATATCATTTTGAATAAGAATTTAAATGACTACACTTCTTATCTGATTGGTGACATTAAATAAAATATATTCATTGTATACTAATAAAATGTTTATCAATAAAACAAGTAACTCAAACTGGTAAAATTGTTTTCTATATTCTTTTTAAGATTTCTCTTTACGGGGAAAAGCTTCATTATTATTGAAAAATCATAAGGATTGAATATTCAACAATGTTTGGATAATTCATGCAATATTTTAACTTTCCATCATCTATAGATAATAGAACTCTTGGAGACAAGGCATTAATTTTCTCTGTGATAAGTTGAGTCTCTTACTTTTTAAAAAAATTTTGTTTAAGCAAACTATTCAGGACTTCCATCTTGAGTGAGTTCTAGTGCTTCCGTCATTTGAGCTAAAACCAACATTTTCCAATGAAAGCAATAAAGAAAGATGATAATCAAACACTGCCAGAAGAACATGAATGCACTTTATCCACCACTATTTCCACAAACTTTATTCAATTAGCATCTTTATACTATGCACATTAAAGGTATAAAGCAATACCAAGCTGCAAATGTGTCTTCGTACCACAGTTCGAATTTTTAAAAAAATGGCGGGGAGGCACAGAATTAATGTTTTGTAACTTATCAGCAATAGTCGGTAATGATCTTAACACTTACTGACCGCAACATCTAGAGATGCTTTTATGTAAATATCCCAAATGAAAGTGATAGAGAAGTAAAGTCTACGAAATGAAAAATGTTATTTTGCTGGAACTAAAAACTGAGAAAAACCAAAAGACCTCAGCTCTGTAGGTGAATTAGATGCATGATGTTTTGTGGATCCTTAAAATGCAAAACCTAAACCTAGAGTTTACTCAGATTATATAAATTCACAATAGACACCTTGCTTTATAGAATTGCAGGAACAATGTTGAATAGCAATGGTGATGGTTAGGATGTTTTTCAAGGATCTTTGTTAATAGCTTAATAATATAATCCAACCTGGGAGGATCTTTTCATGGAAGAGAGATCCCAGCGTTAGTTTAGATTTTCCAGGTTCAAAATACTAGCATTCAAAACTTGTCAAGTTAAATTTATATGATTGTTTTGCAAAGTGCTTGTCTTCAGCTTAAAGATGGAGACATATGATCATTTTAAACAACTTGTTCATTTTGGTAAGTAAAATCGGTTTAGTTTATAACTTCATTTAAAAGACAAAAAGAAAACTTATTCTAAATATTTTGTCATCGAAGATATTTTTCTATCTTAATAAATATAGGATCATTTGAATTATAGCAAAAATGTCATCTAAAAATTTTGTACTCCAAATCAGATTTCATATTTGCCTATTTTATAAAATAAAATTTTTAAATATTTGAAACCTGTATGTGTAGTTTTCTTTCCTGTCATTATTTTTGCATTTTCTTAACTGCATAATTCATTATGTATTATTTTAAAATCTATTTACCAATGATAAATCTGATTTTTCAACAAACAAAAAATAGAATCTGCCAAAGTGCCAAGCAGAAGTGGATTTACTTGGAATTTTTCATCTTTAGAAATGTTGGGAAGAGCAGAATTGTATTTGAAACTAAAAAATCAACCATGTAAAAACTCCCTAGTAATTAAAGATGGAAATGGATCTTATGAGGCAGAATAAAGTGATTAGTTGTTTCTTTATGGAGATGAGCTTTAAAAATGTTCAATAATGGAAAGTAGTTTCAAATTTTACAAATTTACATTATTGAATTCTAACAACCAGATTTGTCATTTGTGCAATTACAGTCCAGTGATAAACAGTGGACAGCAGTTTTACTTCAAGTGTCAAATAAAATTTGAAATTATAAGAACAAAAAAAAAAAATTGTTTATATATAAGATTGATGGTTAATGAATTGCTGTTTGAGTTCCACAATTAATTAGCCAAGTGTGTGTATGTATGTTTTAAATGGATACTCGTATTTCAGATGTTCTGTTTTTATTTATTAAACAGTAACCAGCCTAAATATTCAAAAATTTGCATCCTCCAATAGGACACATATTTTTCTAACAAGATTTCTTGAATATTCAAAGCCAGTAAATGTAAATAAATAAAAATAAGCCAGACTTAATCATTTCCTATATATATATATATATATATAAAAAACACACATGTGTATGCATTGTTAATGCTTATTTACAAAACATTGTAACCACAATAGATCACCATCACAACAATTGCAGTTACATTAAGTTTGTTTTTGCAATTCAACTCCTGAAGAGATTGAAAGTACTTGGGTTAACAAAAAATACAACAGCTTTCTTTATGAATTTCAACTTAACATCAAGAAGATAATTGGAGAACTAGAAAGGATTAATATAAAAAATAGACATATGTCTATATTGTTTAGTGAAACATGCTTATATAAGCTAAACCTGTGATTTATTTTTTTTTTTAAGTTTCCTCCTCTTGTCAGAGTCCATCTTACACTTCTACAAATCTACCCTTTGTCCTTGCATTGAATACTGTTGGCACATCTGGTCTGGTGTCCCTGCTGATCATCTCTAGGTCCTTGGTGAAATCCAAAGAAGGATCTGTAATGTAACCCGTCCTGAATTGGATTCTTAACTTCAGACACTTTCTCACAGATGTCATGTAGCTTCCCTCTGTCTTTTCTACAAATATTTTCATGGCTCTTGCTCTTCCCAACTTTTTTCCCTGATGCCCTAGCTACATGAATTTAAGCATGCTACTAGATTGGCATCTAGGTCCCACTCATTTACTGTTGAAATAGTCAAATGTAACTGCCACTTCTACTCCAACAGTTTCTTTCCTTGCCACCATCTTTTGCCTTGATCCCTGTCCTTTTTTTTTTTTTTTTCCTTTCCTCAATCCTTCCTACACCCACTCTTTTCTCACACTTTCACTCTCTGTAACTGTTGTGTCAGAAACCTACCACCCCTCTTGAAGATGAACTTGTCTGCAAACAAAGACTTTAAATAGTGGCATGTCAGTTGACATGGGGGGAAGACAGATAGACAGAGAAGTTCTTAGCTGAGCTAGTTATTGACTACTCAGACGATTCTGTACCTTTTTACCAACCTATTAAAACCCTTTTTATTGTTACGTGTTATTTGACGTTTGTCTCTACTAACCCCAAATCAACATCATAACAGTAATCCACTGCGTGCTAGTGGCACTCCTGACTTGCTTGGAGTGAAATGCTTAAGAAAAAAAAAATTGAGGCTGTAACCTACAATGGCAGATGGATATTACTTCTTTTTTTTTTTTTTTTTTTTTATCAATTTGACCCATGCAAGGTACTAATGCCACTAAGATGCAAGGAGCTGGAAGTGAAAGAGAATGAAAAGAATTTAGAAAAAAAACAAAAATTGAACCCTAAACAGAAAACAAGAGAAACTGCTACTCCTGTTCAAAAGACTAGGAAGGAATGTGAACTTGACAATATGTGAACCTATCTCTACAACTATTAAGGAAAATATAAATAGTAAATAACATTTCAGCATTTAGACAGTATAAAAAGTGTTAAAAGTATAGAGTTGAAATAAACCTTAGGAGGAACCAGAAACCCAATCCTAAACAGGAAACAAGGGATGAACCAGTACAACTGTTCAAAAGACAGGGGAGGACTGTCAACTGGACAAAGAAATGCTGATAATTTAGTAAAACTTCATCAGCTGCTATAAATAAATTAGTAATACATAATAAATCTGATGATCGCTGGTGGAGGGTCTTCTAAATTCCTTGGCAGCAAAGTCGAAGACAAGGACGTAGACTAAGCACTGCCAACCCCAACAGTAAAAAAAAAAAGCAGGCAATGATTACAACAGATCTCAACATTTAAACCAGCAGATGAAGAGGGCTATGCGTGATGGACATGTTACAGAAGGTGCCACTCAAAATTATAAGTCAGTGGGAGACTGTTGCAGTTTCAGAACTGGATTCTGCATGTCTCATTTGATATATGTCACTGACACAGGTCGTAAAAATCAAATGTTTGGGTCACTTCCAGGAAAACTGAGGTTCACTTTCACACTATTGGCACTTTCTTTTACTCCGATTTCTTTCACCTCCAACCAATTCTTTCAAAGGCAAACAGTAATAGGGAATGGATGACAGGAGCAGATTTTGGTGAAACTGGAAGCATCTAATACTGAACCTGCATGTTGGCAGTAAATTTAGTCATCAACTACCATCATAATAAAGGAAGCGGTCATCAAAGAAGAAATTAAAATCTTGAAT